TCGTGTGATCCCAGTGTGGTAATTTGTCGTTATTTTTGTTTTGCATTGGGATGTTGGCAAATCTACGCCACTATTTAAGGAACGAAAACAGGAGGGCTTCCCCACAAATCTGACCGTCGCCTGATGAAGCTAGTTGTAATTACTGGTGAAACGTCGTACTCAAGCATCTACATTTTGTGGCTTGGCTCTCCAACACAATTCGCTACTAGCTGACCGAGTGAAGAGGAGTCGTAGAATGGTTAAAGCACTTCTTCATTGCACCAACGCACAGCAACACTCGTTGCGAGATCAACCCCCCGAAGACACAGGTCCCACAGCCCCTTTGAACCCCTCGATCTCCGCTCCCAATACACGCCTGGTCCGGGTGACGTCAGTGCTCTTTAACCCCTGACCCCCGCCCCGCGCATTACCGCGCTTTGTGATTGGCGCTTGTTGTCGTGAGAGCGGAGAGGTCGCGCCTGCATGGTGCGTGTGCACGAGGGTGGCTCGCAGGTCTCTTACACTAGTAACGAATTGGCATGTCCTGTTGACTTGACAAACCTTGCTAATTGGCGAGTTTAACGACACATTTAGATATTTACGTGATCTAACCCAAACAAAACCTACATCATGGATGGTATTGGTCGGAAAAAGCCTACGTGTTAAACTGGCAAATAGAAGTTGCATTTTTGTGGGATTTCTTGGCTATGAGAGGAAACCGGAAAACCCGGAGGAAACAAACAATTGTGGAACAAGAGGAGAACATACAAACAACAACAAACACACAATCACTCACACACAATCTGTAGAGCAGCTGGAGAACATGCTAACTCCACTCACACACACTCTGTAGAACAGGTAGAGAACACGCAAACTCCACTCACACACAATCTGTAGAACAGGTGGAGAACACGCAAACTCCACTCACACACAATCTGTACAACAGGTGGAGAACATACAAACTCCACTCACACACAATCTGTAGAACAGCAGGAGAACACGCAAACTCCACTCACACACAATCTGTACAACAGGTGGAGAACACGCAAACTCCACTCACACACAATCTGTAGAACAGGTGGAGAACACGCAAACTCCACTCACACACAATCTGTAGAACAGATAGAGAACATGCAAACTCCACTCACACACAATCTGTAGAACAGGTGGAGAACACGCAAACTCCACTCACACACAATCTGTACAGCAGGTGGAGAGTACGCAAACTCCACTCACAAAATCTGTAGAACAGCTGGAGAACACGCAAACTCCACTCATACAAAACATGCAAACTCTACGCAAGAAAGTGCCCTGAGTTTGAAATTGAACCCAGGGCCTTCTTGCTATGAGAGACAATAAATGACCACTTCACCACCCTGCCACCCAAAGTAAATATACATAGCCTACATCTACATACCCTATATATATTCATAGTCTGCACATGTATTGCCTACTTATACATGCAGTGGTTACAAAAATTGCCTAAAAATAGCCTGTATAGAATATATATGCATCCTAAATATCTACATATCCCACACATACGTATAGTACATATTGATGGCATACATAGAGCATGTAGATAGCAAACACCGGATACTGCATATACATACATAGCCTGTACACATGCACACAGTAGATACATAGCCTACATAGTAAATATAAATATCATACATGCACATCCTACATGCATAGTCTAGACACAGAGAGTACATAGATAGCCTATATGCATAGCATATACACGTAGCCTGCATACAAAATATGTGTGTGCCATTCCTGTTGGCTATGTTTTACACCATGGGGTGTGCCATGTTGGTCTAAATAGGTGCTCGCTAACAACATTTTTAGTAAGAGTCTGAGAATCTTTCCGACTATGTTATGTATGCATATATGTACTTGTATGCCAGGTGTGTACTGTATGTGTAGAATCTATCAGTTGTGTTCGTGTAGTGACTATCAGGTGTGTATGTGTAGTGACTATCAGGTGAGTATGTGTAGTGACTATCAGGTGTGTAAGTGTAGTGACTATCAGGTGTGTAAGTGTAGTGACTATCAGGTGTGTAAGTGTAGTGACTATCAGGTGAGTATGTGTAGTGACTATCAGGTGTATAAGTGTAGTGACTATCAGGTGTGTATGTGTAGTGGCTATCAGGTGTGTATGTGTAGTGACTATCAGGTGTGTAAGTATAGTGACTATCAGGTGAGTATGTGTAGTGACTAGCAGGTGTGTAAGTGTAGTGACTATCAGGTGTGTAAGTGTAGTGACTATCAGGTGTGTATGTGTAGTGACTATCAGGTGTGTAAGTGTAGTGACTATCAGGTGTGTATGTGTAGTGACTACCAGGTGTGTAAGTGTAGTGACTATCAGGTGTGTAAGTGTAGTGACTATCAGGTGTGTAAGTGTAGTGACTATCAGGTGTGTAAGTGAAGTGACTATCAGGTGTGTATGTGTAGTGACTATCAGGTGTGTAAGTGTAGTGACTATCAGGTGAGTATGTGTAGTGACTATCAGGTGTGTAAGTGTAGTGACTATCAGGTGTGTAAGTACAGTGACTATCAGGTGTGTAAGTGTAGTGACTATCAGGTGTCTAAGTGTAGTGACTATCAGGTGTGTATGTGTAGTAACTATCAGGTGAGTATGTGTAGTGACTATCAGGTGTGTAAGTGTAGTGACTATCAGGTGAGTATGTGTAGTGACTATCAGGTGTGTAAGTGTAGTGACTATCAGGTATGCATGTGTAGTGACTATCAGGTGAGTATGTGTAGTGACTATCAGGTGTGTAAGTGTAGTGACTATCAGGTGTGTAAGTCTAGTGACTATCAGGTGTGTATGTGTAGTAACTATCAGGTGAGTATGTGTGGCTCCTCTGCACGTGGAGTGAGTTCACCCCATGCACGCTCTGCTCACGTGGGGTAGCTGCGGCAGTGCGTCCTCGTTTCTCCTGCTGCGGATTAGAGCTCAGAATCAACAGCTCCCTAATCCGCACAGGGGATAGGCGGTGGGACGCAGGCATGGATGGTGAGCGTTCTGGCTGTGTGTTGTGAACCCTGGGTGGGAAAGTGGGACCTACGGTTGGTTCGTGGGTTCCTAGTCTGGGTATTGGGGCCCTGTTTTGGTTTGTGAGACTCTGAATTTGTTAGTGGCACCCTAGGATGTACGGTGGGTCCCTGCGTTTGGTTCATGTGACCCCCGGTAGGTTAGTGGAACCCTGTGTTGGCTAGTGGATTCCTTGATGAGACATAGGGTTTGGGTAAATGTATCCTGGATAGGTAGTGGGGCCCTCAATGGGAGACTGGCTTGGGTAACGGGACCCAGGGTTGGATGGAGGATCGCTGGGTGGGATTTGGTCTCTCGTTTGGGTGGTGGGTGCCAGTGACTCAATGCGGTTGGCATGGGCCTCGGTGCAAGAAATTAAATGCCCCCCTTCCATGTCCAGGTAGCATCCCGGGCTGCATGGTGAGAAACTGGTTGGTAGGTGAGTCCTTTGGTTGCTGTGAACACTTGTTAGAATTCCCATCAGGCACCAACTCAGTTTGCAGTCGTAGATTTGTATTGCATGTGAAAGGTGCTTTAGACATTTTGTGCACTATTTACAATGTAAAACATTTGTCATTAATAATTCCTCTCGACAGAAAATAATTACAATAGGTTGACGATTTGGGCAATACACCTCCTTCAGAGCATGTACGTCACATATTGTCTCGAGTGATTTATTAGGATGGACGATAGCTAATAGACACGACTCATGATGGCAAAGCAGCCAAAGGCTCGATAGAGTGTTGCATCGTGAATGACTTTTGGAGGCTTTCATCCAGCAATGGACCGATAATGGCTGATGATTATCCATCACAGCTTGCTGACCGCATGAACAGCTGATCACCATTCTGACCCCAACAACAACTGCCATGCTCGACTCAGTGGTGAAGTCACCACAATGGCTGTGCCAGGCTAGGTACACTTTGCGGCAATGTGACGTGTGAAAGGCTCAATGGCAGGATATAGCAAGGCCCAGGTGTTATGGGTTAACTTACTGAGATTACCGGCAGATACACCATCTGTGCTGTCCATTGTGCCAACTTGCTGCGTATTAACTGTGCGACCCTTCTGCTAGGCGTTGTGAGCGTCCCTTCCCCACGCTCTGCTGTTGCTGGAGGGCGGACTGTCTCCACAACCCGGTGAGCGTCCTTCACGAGCCTCTTCCACAGACGGCAATGTTGGCACCCCAGGTACCAGTCATCGGCAAGTCGACTCAGAACCACATCCCGTATCTCGTTTAGCCCGTGTAGCCCCATCGATCCGGCCAAAACGCAAGCTGCTTGGCCATGCGGTGGCTCGGACATGCGGGCTACATGACCCAACAGCCACCGCAGCCTCGCCTGCCGGAGGAGGCTCACCAATGTGACACAACGAAGCACAAAAGACCAGTTGTGTAGCCATTCACACACTGCTGGGGCAAGTGCTTGTTTCGCGAGAACATATTATCATTACACACACACACACACCGCCACCGACGCATCCCAATGTCACGTCTAATTTCCTAAGATCTGTTTGTTGTTTTTTGTTACGAAAGAACGCGTTTTCGTTACGTTCACGTCGCTGCTCACTGTGAAACTCTGCAACACAGAGACGCGCTCACCCCACCTCTAACCACAGCCACTGCCTCCCCATCGTTGCCCTTGTACCCAGAACAACAACAACAACCTGTGGCCTTCTCCCCTAAAAAAAACTAACGGAGCTCACAACAACGCGAACGCTCGCAAGCACACGGACACGTACACGCACATTCGCTCACAATCACGCGATCATGCACACTCACACGTACAATGACACACACACACGTACACAACATCTACACACGCTCATCACACAAGTCGTACACTCACACGTACAACAAGACAAAGATCCTCCGTATAGCCTTAGCGGACTGTAGGGGCAAGTGCTGTTAGCGAGAAGGGGGGGGGAGGTTGGTGTCGTGGAGAGGGTGTTTAAGGCAGGGAGAAGAGGAGGCGCGCTCACCACTCACCGAACAAGCGCAGGGCGCAGAAGAGCCCGGCGCAGAAGGCATTCTTCATCTTCATCATCTTCATCATCTGGTGGTGGTGGCCCAGAGATCCAGAGTGCCCCTCCTCCTGGCCGGCTGCGCGCGATTGTGATGAGAGGCACGCGGTGAAATGATGGGCAGAAGATGCCGAAGGCGGTGGTGGTGTGTGGGTGGACGGATGAGGAGGAGGTTGTTTTTAGCTCGGAGCAACGCCGCTGCTGCTGCTGCCACTACTACAAATGCTCTATCCCCCCTCCTCCTCCTCACTCCCCTTCACAATTGGCGAGGGCTTATGACTCACGCGTACAACACGTGTACATTCACGCACGCGTGAAACATGCGTGTACACACTCAAACGTCAAGGGGTCCGTCGTGTTGGGTGGCAAGTGCTGTTAGCGAGCACTTCCTATGAAGGTCGGTACGGAACACGAGGTGGGTGGGTGGTCAGCACCACGCCCGGCCGCCTTTGTCTCCCCAGTGCACTAGAGAGGTATCTAATTTAACTTACTTAAGGCTCAGATATGTAAACACGAACTCAAGTGGCCGGATTCGCTACACTAACACACGTACACACACACAGCAACATTCATGCGTCTATCCTCGGTCACAATCACACGGTCATGCACACTCACACGTACGTAAACTCACGCGTACAATGACACGTACACACACGTACACAACATCTACACACGCTCACACACATCACACGTACACAGACTCGTACACTCACCAACACTCACACGTACAACAAGACAAAGATCCTCCGTATAGCCTTAGCGGACTGTTGGGGCACACGTGTACACACACTCACACGTACACACATACACGTAACACACACTTGTACACATACACTCACACGTACACACTCACACGTACACACTCACTCGTACACTCACACGTAGTACATACACTCACACGTACACACACGTACACACTCACACGTACACTCACACGTAGTACATACACGTACACACTCACACGTACACACACGTACACACACACGTGCACTCACACGTACACACTCACGCGTACACACACGTACACTCACACGTACACTCACACGTACACACACTCACACGTACACACACGTACACACACTCACGCGTACACACTCGTGCACTCACACGTACACACTCACACGTACACACACGCGTACACACACTCACGCGTACACGCTCACACGTATACACACGCGTACACACACTAACGCGTACACACTCGTGCACTCACACGTACACACTCACACTCAAACGCGCTCACAGTCACTCACGAGTAGGAGCGCGTGGGCAGCACGACAGCAGCAGCAGTCCCCAGCTACAGCTGCAACAGCAGTCCCCAGCTACAGCTGCAGCTGCAGTCCCCAGCTACAGCTGCAGCAGCTACAGCAGCAGCAGGCCCCAGCTACAGCAGGAGCAGCAGCAGCAGCAGCAGTCCCTAGCTGCAGCAGCAGGAGCAGCAGCAGTCCCCAGCTGCAGCACTACTACAGCAGCAGCAACAGCCCCTAGCTGCAGCAGGAGCAGCAGGAGCAGCAGCAGCAGCGTCTCTCACCGGTGTCCGGCACTGCCAGAACCCCCGCCTCACTTGTTGCATTCACATCACGAGCCCCGGAGTGAGACGTTACGGGGAGCGGTGGCGCAGCGGTTAGCGCGCCGCCGCGCTACCCGAGTGGCGATTCTGTAGACCGGTGCCCGGGGCCTCCCCCTCGGTCGCCTCGGCCTCATATGAGTACCCGGCGCGGTCTGTAAACATCGCTGCCGGGGGAGACAAAGGCGGTCGGGCGTGGTGCTGGCCACCCACCCACCTCTCTCGTGTACCGCTCCGGCCTCCGTAGGTGCTCGCTAACGGCGCTCTTGTCCCTAAAGTCTGTTAAGGCTACACGGGGGATCTTTGTCTGTGCACGAGTGTATGATGATGATGGTGGTGGTGGAAATGCGCTAGCCACTGCGCTACCAATCTGGCCATCTAAGTCAATAAACATCATTGCAGGGAAGACAAAGGCAGCCGGGCGCGATGTTGACCCCCCCATACACGGTGCTGTTACAAACCCTGCCACCTAAGTTCGATTCCTGGCCAGGGCTAACGTCAATGGGCGAACGAAATCTGAGCCCGTCCTTGGAACGTCGGCAGCGGGAGAGACAAACGCGGCCGGGCCACCTCGTGCGTCGTGCCAGCAGCCAGCAAACTACAAACTGTACGCACTCCTGAAGGCGCCACAGAGAGCGGGGGGGGGGGTGCGAAACGTTTACACTACACTCGAGCGTGGTCGTGTGAACTTGACAAAAGCAGAGGACACTGGTGGCGAGAGAGAGGGGGGTGGGTGCGAAACGTTTACACTACACGGTCGTGTGAACTTGACAAAAGCAGAGGACACTGGTGGCGAGAGAGAGGAGGGGGGGTGCGAAACGTTTACACCACACGGTCGTGTGAACTTGACAAAAGGAGAGGACACTGGTGGCGAGAGAGAGGGGGTGGGTGCGAAACGTTTACACCACACGGTCGTGTGAACTTGACAAAAGCAGAGGACACTGGTGGCGAGAGAGAGAGGGGGGGTGGGTGCGAAACGTTTACACCACACGGTCGTGTGAACTTGACAAAAGCAGAGGACACTGGTGGCGAGAGAGAGAGAGGAGGGGGGGTGCGAAACGAATCTAAAGTTGTTTGGGCCAGACGGTGAGTTCGCGCAAGACGAGCGCACGACATGTTGCCCGTCACATCCACGCCTCTGTTGAACGAACGAAACAGGAGGACTTCTCCACAAGTCTGGCTGTCGCCTGATTATGCTAGTTGTAATTACTGGCGAAACGTCGTACTCACTGATTGTAAATGTTTGTGGCTTGGCTCTCCAACACACCGGTGTTGCTGTGCTCGTGACGAATTGGCCACGTTCTGTTTACGTGACACAACCCTTACTAGTTGGCTGTGTCGGGTGGTGGCGGGTTTAACGACACATTTAGATATTTACGCGATCTAACACCCCCCACCCCCAAACCCGTGTATTGTGGAGGATAAAGAGTTGTGAGCTACAAGTGGAGGTGGCTGACGGCACCTGTGAAGCAGATGAAGCGGTGACTCCGTTAGTCTCCAGTCTGATCTGGTCGACTTCACAGCAACGCGGGTGGACGAATGACGGTCGCGGGCTACAGGAGGAGTGTGTGTTAGTGTGTGTTAGTGTGTGTGTGTGGGGGTAATTGTGCTGTGTGAGAAACGCGCACAGCACTGTTGCTGGACTGTTGCGCGAAGTCTCTCTATATCTCGACGACCCCCATCCTCAACACTCTTGATTCCCCCCTCCTCCACCCTCCTCATCCTCACCCTCCTCATCGCCATGGTTCGCTCCGTTACCACGGACACGGCCTCCGCACGCTTTCATCGCCAGGCCATTCTGGGGCATTCATTCAGTCGGAATGCCAGCGCCGTCCGTTGTCGGTGGTGAACTGACGACTACAAAAAACAATTCACACGGACGCCTCGTCGCTTTTTTTAATGTCAAACCCAGCGTGCTGCTGGATGAAGGCCTGCCCAACCCCATCTCGGCGTATTGGGGGTTGTTTGGCCATACTTCACCACTGCGCGTGGGGGAGAGGGGTTGCCAGGGTGGACCGGTTCAGATGTATAAGCACCCCCCCACCCCCCTTAACTAAAATTAGCCGTGGCCGGGAGTCGAACTCACGTTTCCCGGATTGTAGAGCGGTGTCTACATCACTGCGCCTCCGCTCTCTCGAGATAATACATCCACGCTTACGAAAACAAAATGTTCTCTCGTCGAGTCCAGGGAAAACGCCACCACGCCTGACCGCCTTTGTCTTCCCAGTGCTGACGTTTATTATTTCCACACCGTACTAAGTACAGGGCGCTAGGGGTGGTTTACGACAGATTTAAGATGTCACATTCATACCACTAATGTCCACCGTGGTCGAGAATCGAACCCAGGTGTCCGGGATCATCGTCACCTTTGCCACTATATAAGACAAATATCCCCCCATATAGCCTTGAACAGACCGTTGCTAAAAAATAATCTCGTGCATTTTTTCTTCTATTTATACTTTTAAAAAAATTAATGTGTACTTAAACGAGCCAGTGGTGGGAAATTTCCATGCAAATGCATCCATGAAATGATAAAATCTTTATTTTTGTATTAATGTAATTTACTCTCATCCTCCCATTTTATTTAAATTGCGCGCTCGGCGTGGTTTTTTGATGATGGAAACTAATGGCACCCACGTTGATACATCCACCGTATGTGGAGACTAGTTCAGGGAGTGTGTATATGGAGCGGTGGTGCAGTGGTTAGCGCACTACACTCCAAACCCCGGCGCCTTGATTATGATTCCAGGCCATGGTCACCTTGTGAACCGGTTATAAGCACCACCGTCCCGCCCCTCCTTGTCTACCAAGCCCATATTTGATAGACAAGCAGTGGATACTACTAGTCCAATACTAGTATGTCTCCTTGATGTGTCTCTCCACATTAAAGAGTATTTCTTACACAAGCCGTCGGTCCTCACGGCTTTCTAGGGAGTGCATCATTCCAGCAGCATTGATTCGGCACAATCGAGAGTCTGGATCGGTGTCTGTGCACCGCACACTGCAGATCACAACACTTCTCTGTCCGCTTCTTCAACTCACTCTGCTCCACTTTGTAATAATACTCAAAAGTACGGTGAGTAAAAACGACAACCCTCGTCACCGACACTGCGTTGGGATGCATTCATCCAGCAGTGAATTGAGAGGGGTTCTACATTATTATACGTGACAACGTGTGTGTGTGTGTGGGGGGAGCGGTAGTGTAGCGGTTAGTGCGCTGCGCTACGAGCCCAGCGACCCGAGTTGAATTCCCGTTCACGGCCAACATCAGTGACGATTATCTGAACCGGCCATTGACCTCCCCTAGGTCGACTCAGACAAAGGCGGTCGGGCGTGGTGCTGGCCACGCACCTCCTCGTGTGCTGTGCCGGCCTTCATAGGTGCTGCTCGCTAACAGCACTTGCCCCAACAGTATGTTAAAGGCTATACGGGGGATCTTTGTCTTTGTATGTTTGGGAGCGGTGGCGCAGTGGTCAGCGCAATGTTTGGATTCCGCTTGACTCCAGCACGGGGTCAACTCGCATCGCAAGGGGTCGCCGCGAGATGGCGATATCGTGACATCGCGATATCGTGATATGGCGATATCGTGAAATCGCGATGCCACGATCGTACGATACACCGTACGATATGGCGATACTGGATGTGATTTATTTGGGAGGGGGGACGTCGTTGTATCGTGATTATGGTTCGTTTAGTTAGTTTTAAGTGTGTGCGTTTTTTATTGCTGTACTGACTAAACATTTGTGTACAAGCAGGGTAATTGAAACGTATAAAAAGCACTCAGTCTTTGTACATTATGCAAAAAATAAACATCAACAGTTCGCATTCTTGATTGCGATCGAAACGTCGTGGGTTTTTTGCTTTTATTGTATTTTCTACCTATATGAATTCCTGCAGTCACGAAAGTTTTAAGTCAAAATCAACAGTTCGTCCATAATGCAAAATGGCTGAGTGACCACGTGTTGTTTGAAATGTATGGTTTTCTGTTATGAAGATGGCTTTTTTTCTCTCCACGATTTACATAATTTGACAATAGGTTAAGTGTGTAAACAAATACAGTGAGGGAAAAAAGTATTTGATCCCCTGCTGATTTTGTACGTTTGCCCACTGACAAAGAAATGATCAGTCTATAATTGTAATGGTAGGTTTATTTGAACAGTGAGAGACAGAATAACAACAAAATCCAGAAAAACGCATGTCAAAAATGTTATAAATTGATTGGCATTTTAATGAGGGAAATAAGTATTTGACCCCTCTGCAAAACATGACTTAGTACTTGGTGGCAAAACCCTTGTTGGCAATCACAGAGGTCAGACATTTCTTGTAGTTGGCCACCAGGTTTGCACACATCTCAGGAGGGATTTTGTCCCACTCCTCTTTGCAGATCTTCTCCAAGTCATTAAGGTTTCGAGGCTGACGTTTGGCAACTCGAACCTTCAGCTCCCTCCACAGATTTTCTATGGGATTAAGGTCTGGAGGCTGGCTAGGCCACTCCAGGACCTTAATGTGCTTCTTCTTGAGCCACTCCTTTGTTGCCTTAGCCGTGTGTTTTGGGTCATTGTCATGCTGGAATACCCATCCACGACCCATTTTCAATGCCCTGGTTGAGGGAAGGAGGTTCTCACCCAAGATTTGACGGTACATGGCCCCGTCCATCGTCCCTTTGATGCGGTGAAGTTGTCCTGTCCCCTTAGCAGAAAAACACCCCCAAAGCATAATGTTTCCACCTCCATGTTTGACGGTGGGGATGGTGTTCTTGGGGTCATAGGCAGCATTCCTCCTCCTTCAAACACGGCGAGTTGAGTTGATGCCAAAGAGCTCCATTTTGGTCTCATCTGACCACAACACTTTCACCCAGTTGTCCTCTGAATCATTCAGATGTTCATTGGCAAACTTCAGACGGGCATGTATATGTGCTTTCTTGAGAAGGGGGACCTTGCGGGCCCTGCAGGATTTCAGTCCTTCACGGCGTAGTGTATTACCAATTGTTTTCTTGGTGACTATGGTCCCAGCTGCCTTGAGATCATTGACAAGATCCTCCCGTGTAGTTCTGGGCTGATTCCTCACCGTTCTCATGATCATTGCAACTCCACGAGGTGAGATCTTGCATGGAGCCCCAGGCCGAGGGAGATTGACAGTTCTTTTGTGTTTCTTCCATTTGCGAATAATCGCACCAACTGTTGTCACCTTCTCATCAAGCTGCTTGGCAATGGTCTTGTAGCCCATTCCAGCCTTGTCTAGGTCTACAATCTTGTCCCTGACATCCTTGGAGAGCTCTTTGGTCTTGGCCATGGTGGAGAGTTTGGAATTTGATTGATTGCTTCCGTGGACAGGTGTCTTTTATACAGGTAACAAGCTGAGATTAGGAGCACTCCCTTTAAGAGTGTGCTCCTAATCTCAGCTCGTTACCTGTATAAAAGACACCTGGGAGCCAGAAATGTCTGATTGAGAGGGGGTCAAATACTTATTTCCCTCATTAAAATGCAAATCAATTTATAACATTTTTGACATGCGTTTTTCTGGATTTTTTTGTTATTCCGTCTCTCACTGTTCAAATAAACCTACCATTAAAATTATAGACTGATCATTTCTTTGTCAGTGGGCAAGCGTGCAAAATCAGCAGGGGATCAAATACTTTTTCCCTCACTGTAATTGCTAGAATACTCATTCAATGAGTGCTCTACCTCACTTTTTATTTCCAGGGCAAGAGTAATCCATGGCTTGGTGGTGATATATTGTAACAGCAGCATCATTATAATCTTTGTCGCACTTTTAATTAGGACACAATTACTGTTTATCTGACAGCATGTGCGTTACAGGCATTCTACAGATTGTAAAGATGTTTATAATATTCCCTATTGCGGGCTTATGTTGAGTGAACTACAGTTTAAATACAATTTATGAGCATTTTTTAAATTCCTACTGTAATTAGTCTACAGAAACGGCACACAACCAATACAATAACAATCTATATACGGTGACAACGCTACGGGACGCTGGTATAGCGATGATGGTCATATCGTGGAATTTGATATCGTAAATATCGTGGCAAACGCGATCCGTACCGTGCATATCCCGGTAAACTGCATCTAACGATTTAAAAAAAAACATCGATCCGGGCAATGCGTTTACGTTGGATGTGCATCATCAATGACTTGCTGTACTAAAAAAACGGTGATCAAGGCAGTATAAGCGAGGCAGTACACGTGAGGCAGTACAAGCGAGGCAGTACAAGCGAGGCAGTACACGCGAGGCAGTATACACGAGGCAGTACAAGCGAGGCAGTACACAAGAGGCAATACACACGAGGCAGTACACACGAGGCAGTACAAGCGAGGCAGTACACACGAGGCAGTACACAAGAGGCAGTACAAGCGAGGCAGTACGCACGAGGCAGTACGCACGAGGCAGCACACACGAGGCAGTACACAAGAGGCAGTACAAGCGAGGCAGTACAAGCGAGGCAGTACACACGAGGCAGTACACACAAGGCAGTACAAACGAGGCAGTACACAAGAGGCAGTACAAGCGAGGCAGTACAAGCGAGGCAGTACAAGCGAGGCAGTACAAGCGAGGCAGTACAAGCGAGGCAGTACAAGCGAGGCAGTACACACGCGTGTGCTAACAGGTGCGGACCAAGGTTTGCAGATGCAGGAAAGGACGTTGCTTTCCGCAGATCCGACCAAAATCATTCAAGCACATAAACAGAGCACACATCCCTACATTTGTACACAGCGCAACTCTATATTCTGGGACATTTTTTGCCAGTAGCAAAGCATGAAAACAAAATAATAGGTTTTACCCGTTATGGAAATAAAACAGGTATGAAAAATAAGAATAGAATTTACCCTTTCTGGCAATAAACGAGGTGTTAAGATGTGCAAACACAACATCTAAACCTGTTAGGTTTCTATTTGGTGTTTGAATTATTAAACAGCTTAACACCTGTTTTATTGCCAGAAAGGGTAAAATCCCTTCTTATTTTCATAGTCTGTATATTCTCTCTCAATATACAGCATTACTATGAATGGTACTGACAATTCAAGAGTGTGTGTATACAGCAACTACCGCTGTCATCGCCTTGCTCAACGAAGCTTCCAATACACGAGACGCGACGACGGGGGATAGGATCCGACATCCGACTCTCCGAACACTGCACGACTCTACTGCAGTCTCTCTGGATGATATCGGTCACGGAAGCCAACGCGTTAAACCGAGTCTCTCTACTCAGTCGCAGGTCGGACGAGTCGTTCTCACCCAGTGCTCCTCCGCGCCCTTCTTGCCGTGAGCTACGTACTTTCAAAGGACCTCAAATGAACACTTTCCTTCCACTTTTTCCCAGCGACCGTCTTCATTTCTCTTTGGACTCAAGCCGTATTGGTACGCCGTTATATTTACGTGCAATACTAAAGGACCTTTGCCCAAAACATCACCGAGTATATATATTTTTTATAAGCACAGATTAAACAAGCAACGTTCAAACGCGAATCTTAAGGTGGCAGCAGGGCCTTCTTGAAAGGCAATATTGAGACTCTTTCCTGGGTAAATAAGTGGAATTGTTATGTATTAGTCAGAGCTCGAAAGTCAAGCAGGGAATTTCGCCAGGACAGCGCTTTCCGATGGGTGACCACACACAAAGAGGTGGCTATTTAAAGTGGGGGCTCCGAGGTGGAAACGAGGGTAGTGGAAACAACATCCGTGGCTCTATCTTGACTTAAAGCTTTCGTGACTGCAGGAATTCATATTACTTGGGTCTTTCGGTAAAGTCACATAGGTAGGTGCAAAGAAAATAACAAACAATAATAATAATAAACGACGACGTTTCGATCGCAACACAAGCGTTCGTTATCAGGAAGAAAAAAAGACGAACGCTTGTGTTGCGATCGAAACGTCGTAGTTTTTTTGTTGTTGTTATTTTCTTTGAACCTATCTACGTGACTTTACCGAAAGACCCAAGGAATATCCATTGGCTTTAACATACTTCTATGTTACCAAGGTTTATGCCCCCCGCTTTCACCAACCCGCACTGGGCGAGGTTATGGTAAATGAAGCCCCCATGGACCGGCACAGCGTAGCAAGGCCCTCCTCGTCCAGCAATTGCGTGGCGTAAATATGTACAGACGCATGCACCCGCGTACGTTCGAGTGTGGTGGTGGCTACGGATTCCGAAACCAGTGCAAGTCGTGGAGAGACCCTCACATAGAAAGTGGATTGACAAAGGGCACGAGCAAGGACATTATCAACATTATTGACAAGTAAAGGCGCAGCTAATTCCAGGGTCTTTCCATCACGCGAGATGCACAGCTATCATCACCATAACCACCACCAACACGTTGAGCGTAAGAAATCGCCACCACTCCTGCACCCCCGACCGTCTCCGCCACCCTCTTATCCCACACGAGACCTCTGGACAGCGGAAACCTTCTTAACAGAACACTGCGGCGACGAAGACTGGGGCCACGACCACCACGAAGCCAGGCGGCCGCAAGATCCGTCTCATTCATGAAGTACACAAACGGGTCCGTGCAAGCGTTCATCACCGACAGCACCATCACGGTCTCGTTGATGGCGTTGACGGCGCGCGCGGCTTGGCACGGGTCGGCGCACGACAGCCGCGTCCAGGCGACCACGTACATGCCCAGCATGAACATCTGCAAGGGCACGAACGTGAGGAGGAACGTGGTGACCACGGCGGTCACCAAGCGCAGGGCACGCGCGCGGCCGCGTCGGTCGCGCCGCATGCGTTCGGAGCGCAGTACCACGCTGACCACGCGCGCGTAGCACGGGATGATGACGGCCAACGGTGCCACCGTGGTAGCGCCGAACGAGAGGAAGAAGGCCACGGAGGACCTCGCCTTCGAGAGGTCCGTGGTCAACGAGAGGCCGCAGTAGGAGGCGCCTTCTCGGCCCGGGTCGGGCCCGCGGTGGACTATGTTGGAAAAGTTATGGGCCACGAGGAGCGAAACGAGCACCCAGCCGAGGAACGAGCTCACGAGGGACGTTCGCCGCGAGCGGAGGGACGTGAAGTCCAGAGGGTGCGCGGTGGCCAGGTAGCGCTCCACACAGATGAGAAGCACGAAGAGCGTGGAGCCGTACACGCTGGCGCTGAACAGGGACAGGGCCAGGCCGCATGCCAGCTCGCCCAGCCGCCAGTCGTAGCCGTGGATCACGTAGAGGGCCCACGGAGTCGCGCAGATCGACGCGAGAAAGTCCGCGGCGCTCAGGTTGAGCATGAAGATGCACGTTTGGGAGCGCGACGAGGTCACGGGCATGTGCTTCTTCTTCTGCTGCTGATGTTGGTACTGCACAGCCATTAGAGTCACCTCGACCAGGTTGGCGAGCAGACCTAGGCCTCCCACGACGAGCAGCAGGACGGAGAAGACGGGAGCCGTGAAATCGGGGAGAGGGGAGCAACGGGAGTCCCCGAGTCCCGGCGGCGAGGGGATGTAAGGGATCTCCGCGGTGCTGATGCACGTGGACGCGTTGGAGTCACGGAAGAGCATTTGCGTGCGGTGGTGTTGATTCTGCTTTAGGTGACAAGAGCTATCCTTGAAGGATAATTTTCTACATACGTGACTTTACCGAAAAAAACAATGAGTATCGTAATGTATGCAGTCACGAAAGCTTCAATTCTATATTGATGAGTCGACTGTTTGAATAGCGAAATGGTGGTGGCGGTACACGATGAGTATATGAGAGCGGTCCTTGGAGGTTGAGTGTGGACTGTGGAACAGTTGCCGGATCTGGCAGAAGGACGAGATGGCGAAGTGTGGCAGCGTTCAGGGACATCGGCCTCGTGATGACCTCGTGACCTCGTCGATAGGCAGATGCTGGTGACCGAAAAGACAAGGTTTGGTGTCACTACTGGTGGATTGGTTAATTTCTCTATGTGGCAATTAATTCGTGCAAATGAGATCACGATTGATAACCACAGCGGCATTCACTATTGTAATCAACGCCACAATTAACGACCATCAATGCAGACTCTGCTGCATTGGCTGTTTTGTGAGCTATATTTTTTTATTTTGGTGGGTCCTTCAGTGCATAAACTGTCAATGCGATGATGATGGTGATAAGACGGAGGAATTGCTTCTGCTCATGATTATTATTCTTCCTCTGCTGATTGTGATGCTTGTTACGTTTTTTTCCGCAGCTACTAATGATGATGATAATTCTTCTGACACCACCGCTGTTTTTTCTATGCTGCTGCTACTGCGGCTGTTGGTGATGATAATAATGATGATGATGACGATTCTGCTACTTCTACCGGTGAAGTGAATACGTGCTTTTGACATTACCACCGCTGCTCATGATGTGTCTGCTTCTGTCGCCGCTGTTGCTGATTCTCCTACCGCTCAAGATAATGGATATGCCTGTGATCCTACTGCTATCGATGTTCATGTTACTGCTGCTGATGATTATAATAACGATTCTGCAACCGCTCCAGTTAATTAGATGCCTCTGATACTACTGTTGCTGATGTTTCTGCTTCTCTAGCTACTGCTGTTGCTGCTGATACCGATGACGATTCTGACACTGCTGCTGTCGTTGATGAATCCGTGTTTTACGATTCTGGTTGCTACTGATGCTGCTGATCGTGCCGCAGTAAACCCACTCGCATTGCAATTGTAAACAATGCGAGAGCGCGTATTGTTTTTTTGTCACTTGGCTGAACCCCAGGTCATTCTTCTGCACGATACTTTACCTACCCTGCTCTCTCGAGCGCTCAGCTGGTTCAGCAAACTCGTCCTTAAATTCGGCTGGTGCGTGAACCACGCACCAGCCGCGATCCGCGCCAACCCTCCAATAATGCGAAGTCGTGCGGAAGGGACACGGGGTTTTGAGTCGCGCTTACCCGGGCGGTGTGGTGAGTGGGTTAGAATCGGGGTGACGGCGGGTAGAGGGTGGATGAGAGGGCAGGGGGTCTTAACACCCACAGAACACCCTCCCCCTCTCGCCCTCCATCGCCTCCATCTCACTCACGAGGCTGCGTGGAAAAATCCATGCGAGGTGGAGAATGGGCTCGTAATGGGGACCCATGGGGCTAGAGAAGTGTGAGCGTGAGCAACTTTCTCAGGGATAAAATAACGAGAGAAGTTTACATTGACATCCGATTATCACACGGCCTATCGTCACCGCCGCGGTGGCGAGATGTTAATTACCTCGCCTGGTATGCAGGAGGTCGCGGTGTTCGATCCCGACTCTGACGCCTGCTGTATATTTGGAGTTTGCGCGTCACTCTCCCCGTGGTCGTGTGGCTTTTTCTCCAGGTCCTCCGGTTTTCCCCTCCTCATTTGGAAACACGCGTATTTGGCTGTTATAAATTTGTACACGATAAGCCACTTCGTTGAGCTATCAATTGTGGCCAGGTGGCTTCTGAAAAAAAGAGCTATATAGCTCAGTGGGCCTTACCTGGTAAAATAAATATAGTTTAAACTTGATTTGAAGCTTTCGTGAGTGCAGGAATTACTTTTGTTTCTTTCGGTAAAGTCACGTGTAGAATGAAAATAAATTAAATAATAGAATACGACGTTTCGATTGCAACACAAGCAGTCATCATCAGACACGGAGACACAGAAAGACATACAAGCATGTCTATGTTGTGTGCCTCTCTGTGTGTGTCCCTGTGTTATCTCTCTCTGCTTGTGTGTCTGTCTGTGTGTGTCTCTCTCTCTGCCTGTGTGCCTGTCTGTGTGTCTCCGTGTCTGTGTTTTGTCTCTCTCTCAAATTTAGTTCGACCTGATGACAACTGCTCGTGTTGCAATCGAAATGTCGTATTCTATTATTTAATTAATTATCTTTCTACACGTGACTTTACCGAAAGAACCAAGAGTAAATATAGTTTAGTTTATAGTTTAACATGCACGTATTTACAGTATGCAAGCATATTTAAAAAGACTGCAGTCATCTTCTTTTGCTCATATCTGATTTGCGTCTCGAAGTTTTTAGGCAACAGCTCTTTACACAATTTGGCCCCGGGTTTTCAATCGTGTGAAGCTCTCGTAGAAATAAAAAAACACACACACACACAACTTGACCTGAAGGTTTCGTTCATATTGGATCATCTTCACGAGAAAGCCAGAGTGCCTGCACTCGGACACAGATAGCTAAAATATAGGGAGGGTTTTTTGGGTTAGATCACGTAAATATAAATGTGTCATTAAACCCGCCACCACCCGACACAGCCAATGAGTAAGGTTTGTCACGTAAACAAAACATGCCAATTCGTTACTAATACTAGCTTCATGATGAAGTTAGTTGTAATTAGTGGCGAAACGTCGTACTCAGATTGTAAATGTTGTGGATTTGCTCTCCAACACACCGTTGTGCTGTACTAGCAACGAATTGGCACGCTCTGTTTACGTGACAAACCTTACAAATTTGCTGTGTCGGGTGGTGGCGGGTTTAACGACACATATATATTTACACGTTCTAACCCAAACAAAACCTATTTCATGGATGATATTGGTCGCAAAAGCCTACGTGTTAAACAGATAGCCAGTGCGAGACATCACATAATAGCAATGTTACATTTTAAGTTTTAGATGGAGAGGCGTGCGGAGGTGAGGTGGGGGGAATTGTCACACCCCTAACTTGGAGGGTGTGAGCCTGTGACGTCCCCGTGTGCCTGGGGATGTGGACAAGGGCTTATAACGTCCACCAGCCAATTAACGCTAATGAGCGGTGCTGGCGAGTTGACGGGTGTTGCTTTTATGGATTCAGTCATCGACGCAGAAAGTTTCTGAATGTTTCGTTACAATGTTGAACTGCGATGCGACTCCCTTGGAAACAACGACGGTCTTTTCGCGGTAGTATGTGATCTCGCCGCCTTTCACAACAACAACATCTGCTAACCCAACGGCGTGCTGTTTAACAGGCCAGAAACCTGCTGACGAGACTCAGAAAGTCGAAACTGGCCTCATGCGTCAGACAAATTGAAGCTGCGAATCAACCCCGCCCGGCCACCGTTGTCTCCCCGGTGCTGATGTGCCGATGTCAACGTATCTCACCGGATACTCATTTAAGGTTGAGTCGACCTAGGGGGAGGAGGGGGGAAATCAAATCCAGGTATCGCTCCTCCCATTGACACACGCACTCCAACTGTGCCAAGCTAACCAACGAATGGATATAAAAGTCAGTCTCCACTTGAAAATAAAACATTACCGCACCTGCATTGAAATCGAGAGTAGAGGTCTCTTCTCGACTGTGCTGATGTAGCGACCTCTAGCGGCTACATGGGTCAGGCATCCGATTTCCAGATCAGTCAGCGATGCCGTTCGTAGCAGCGCCCTCTAGAGAGAGAAAAAATACATCAACACGTTCACCAAGCGCACTGCTTTAAAACGAACAGTAATACTCTCCACCCCGGCGACGTTTCGGAGAAGGGGCCGTCCATAAATGACGTCACACACCTAGGGGGGGAGGCGGGTTTGGTTGAGAAATGTGACGTCACATCAACATGCGCAACTTTAAATCAATATAAACAATATAATTGTCATAACAACACTCATTTTGATTAATTTTCATTATTAACTATTTGATTATTTAAATCTACTAAGGTCACCTTTTATTTATTCCATGAAAGAGCATTTTGCTTCTCCATGGGAGAATGTAGAAGCATACATTTTGTAATATTTTGAATGATTGTTATTAAACATTTTGATTTTAATGAGTCTACCCGGGTCTTTGGTTATATTCGGTAAAGTCACGTAGGTAAAAAATAAAACCAAAAAATCACGACGTTTCGGCCACAACACAAGTGGCCTTCATCAGATGAAGGGACCAAACTGTCCAGAGGACAGCGTTGGAGTGAAGAAAGTCAAGCGCAGGTCGCCTCCTTTAAGCTGTGAGGGGGTAAACAGAAAACGCCTTGACAAAGGAATTAGCATAAAATGTGCTACTGTGAAAGCTTGGAATTAGCATAAAATGGCATTACACCACCGTGAGAGTTTGGAATGCCACTAATTGAATAAATATACTATACCATTGAAAATTAGTTTAATGTTTGGTTCGATTTAGAACATCTTTCCAATGGTTGCTTAATTTGAAACCATCTTCTCGGTTGAAATTGTGTCTGTGTTTGTAAATCTGAATTGCCTCGTGAACAAATCTCTGATAAAAACCCGTGGGTTTGCAGAGGACCTTGGTATCGGAGAAAATTATATCGTGATCACCCACAGCATTGTAACAGTAATCAGCTACGGCAGAAGAATTCGTTCTGCCGTGTTTCAAATCTGATTTGTGCTCGCGAATTCGGTCAGAGACATGTCGTTTCGTCTCCCCGATACAGCAGTCACCAAAGGTGCAGATCAATTTGTAAACCCCGGGGTACTGTACGTCAGGAATGACATCCTTCACGGAAGGGATCAGGTCACGGATTTTGTGTACTGTATTGAACCGGACCAGGATCTTGTGTTTGTTTAGAATTTTGGAGATCTTTTTAGTAGCACTACAATGACAATAGTTTAAAGTAATTTGAAGCATGTTTTATTTTCAAAATGGAAATATGGTTTTGGGGGGAGGAGGCAGAGCTTTGTGATGTCATATTTGAGGGGGGTCTGACTTTTTGTGACGCCGTGTGACGAGGCGGGGAGGGGGGGTCAAACATCGGCCAAAATCGCGTGGAGTCATTTATGGACGGCCCCCAATGCGCCTTCTTCATCGTACATCAATTACAGTGAGGGAAAAAAGTATTTGATCCCCTGCTGATTTTGTACGTTTGCCCACTGAGAAAGAAATGATCAGTCTATAATTTTAATGATAGGTTTATTTGAATAGTGAGAGACAGAATAACAACAACAAAATCCAGAAAAACACATGTCAAATATTTTGATTTAAAGCTTTCGTGACTGCAGTAATTCATATTCTTAGTTTTTTCGGTAAAGTCACGTTGAAGAGAAACAACAAAAAAATAAAATATATATAAAACAATAAAAAATTCTCACGACGTTTCGACCATAACTCAAACGGTCGTCTGAGTTATGGTCGAAACGTCGTGAAAAATTTTATTGTTTTATATATATTTTATTATTTTGTTGTTTCTCTTCAACGTGACTTTACCGAAAAAACTAAGAATACATGTCAAATATGTTATAAATAGATTTGCATTTTAATGAGGGAAATAAGTATTTGACCCCCTCTCAATCAGAAAGATTTCTGGCTCACAGGTGTCTTTTATACAGGTAACGAGCTGAGATTAGAAGCACACTCTTAAAGGGAGTGCTCATAATCTCAGCTTGTTACCTGTATAAACGACACCTGTCCACAGAAGCAATCAATCAATCAGATTCCAAACTCTCCACCATGGCCAAGACCAAAGAGCTCTCCTAGGATGTCAGGGACAAGATTGTAGACCTACACAAGGCTGGAATGGGCTACAAGACCATTGCCAAGCAGCTTGGTGAGAAGGTGACAACAGTTGGTGCGATTATTCGCAAATAGAAGAAACACAAAAGAACTGTCAATCTCCCTCGGCCTGGGGCTCCATGCAAGATCTCACCTCGTGGAGTTGCAATGATCATGAGAACGGTGAGGAATCAGCCCAGAACTACACGGGAGGATCTTGTCAATGATCTCAAGGCAGCTGTGACCATAGTCACCAAGAAAACAATTGGTAACACACTACGCCGTGAAGGACTGAAATCCTGCAGCGCCCGCAAGGTCCCCCTGCTCAAGAAAGCACATATACATGCCCGTCTGAAGTTTGCCAATGAACATCTGAATGATTCAGAGGACAACTGGGTGAAAGTGTTGTGGTCAGATGAGACCAAAATGGAGCTCTTTGGCATCATCTCAACTCGCCGTGTTTGGAGGAATTCTGCCTATGACCCCAAGAACACCATCCCCACCGTCAAACATGGAGGTGGAAACATTATGCTTTGGGGGTGTTTTTCTGCTAAGGGGACAGAAGAACTTCACCGCATCAAAGGGACGATGGACGGGGCCATGTACCGTCAAATCTTGGGTGAGAACCTCCTTCCCTCAGCCAGGGCATTGAAATTGGTCGTGGATGGGTATTCCAGCATGACAATGACCCAAAACACACGGCCAAGGCAACAAAGGAGTGGCTCAAGAAGAAGCACATTAAGGTCCTGGAGTGGCCAAGCCAGTCTCCAGACCTTAATCCCATAGAAAATTTGTGGAGGGAGCTGAAGGTTCGAGTTGCCAAACGTCAGCCTCGAAACCTTAATGACTTGGAGAAGATCTGCAAAGATGAGTGGGACAAAATCCCTCCTGAGATGTGTGCAAACCTGGTGGCCAACTACAAGAAACGTCTGACCTCTGTGATTGCCAACAAGGGTTTTGCCACCAATTACTAAGTCATGTTTTGCAGAGGGGTCAAATACTTATTTCCCTCATTAAAATGCAAATCAATTTATAACATTTTAGACATGAATTTTTCTGGATTTTGTTGTTGTTATTCTGTCTCTCAATGTTCAAATAAACCTACCATTAAAATTATAGACTGATAATTTATCTGTCAGTGGGCAAACGTACAAAATCAGCAGGGGATCAAATACTTTTTTCCCTCACTATATATGCCTTGTCTGTTAAGTTCACAGTGTTATTGACGAGTGTCTTGATTTAAGTTCCTTGTACTTGGTTGGAGCACTGCCAACGCAGTCCCACCAAATAATTAATCTTCCAAAAGTCGGGGCATTATCATTACATGATCGATACAATTCTCAGAATTGTTATTATGCAAATAATGTACACATATTTGTTAACCAACTGCTGTATGAAGGCCTCGTCACCCCGTTAGTGTCATGGAAGTCGTTTGGACATCCCTCACCTCGTGTTAAGGGGCCGTCCATAAATGACGTCACGCACTTGGGGGGGGGGGCGGGGTCAGACATTTGTGACGATGTGTGACAAGGGGGGGGGGGTGGGGGGGTTGGAGAAATGTGACGTCACATCAAAATGCGCAACTTTAAATAAATATAGACAACACGTTCTACTTAATTAAATAGACTTTTTTAATAAATGTTTTCTCCTACAACATCAGAGTGCAGCGCCACATTAAATACGCACTGCAATGCCAATAGTTTAAAGCGATTTGAAGCAAGTTTTATTTGGGGGGGGGCAGAGCTTTGTGACGTCATATTTGAGGGGGGTCTGACTTTTTGTGACGCCGTGTGACGAAGGGGGGGGGGGGTCAAAAATCGTCAAAAATCGCGTGACGTCATTTATGGACGGCCCCTAAGACAGCTGACGACCGCTGCCCAACACGAATGGTTGGCGCTTCTGCTTGCGAATTTGCGATCATTCGTCTCGTGACAGTCAACGCAGACAACCGGTGGAACAGTCGGGACAGCGTTGTCGGGAGGGAGAGCGAGAGGAGAATAGGAATAATGTTTACGGTATTTTGGTAATAAGAAAAAATCGATATTCATCGAATATTCGTTGCGTCGTCGTCATACTCCGAATATTTTTTTATTGCGGCAGCGTTGGGCAGAAACCGCAGGTGGAGCCACCCCCACCCCAGCGAGCTCATTATCATATCCAGCAGAATCAGCTGCAGCTCCCACCCCACCTTCTCCACCCAGCATCATCATCTCGCTCTCTCTCGCCGCACGTCACCTTTAAAGGGGATACAGTACCCGGCACCCACAGCACACACAGTCCCACAGCACACACACACACAAACAAGCACACACACATTTGACACGCGTCTATTTTTAATGCCCCCCGCGTGATCAATATCAGGGCCCAACCAGACACTCACGAATACGCGTGGCTGTGAAAAGGAGAAGGCAGAAGGAGACCGATACAGACATATCCCCGTGTAGCCTCCGACACAGGATATTGGGGCAAAGTGCTGCTCGGCTTGAACACACACACGTACACACACGCACAGACATCCCCAGCGCGGGTGTTAGAACCGAGGCGCTTGAACGGAGGAGCTCCAGGGCTCGTGCGGGATTGCTCCTCCTGCTGCTCCTCCTGCTGCTGCTCCTCCTGCTGCTGCTGCTCCTCATTCTCGCCAGCGCCATGGCCGCTTGCTGCAGCGGAGGAGGACTGATTGTTGCTCTCGCCTTGTGCTTTGTAGCCGGTACGTGTGGGCTCTACAACATCATCATCATAGCACCCTCTTTGACATCAACATCATCCTCATCATGAACAAAACGAATGGTAATCATCGTCTTCATCATCAGAGCACCCTCTTTGACATCATCATCATCCCATTTCACATCATCATCAATATCCTCATGACCAATCCAATGATGACAATCGTCATCCCATATCACGTCATAATTATCACCATCATCACGACCAAACCAATGCTAATACTGTTAATTATTGTCATCTTTGATATCATCATCCCATTTCACGTCGTCGTGATCATCAACATCATCCTCATCATGACCAAACCAGTGAGAATCATCACCATCATCCCATTTCACGTCATCATCATCATCGCGACTAAATCAATGGTAATACTAATTTTCATCATCTGCAGTGCACTCTTTGATATCATCACCAAATTAATAATCATTAATGTTATGATCGTCACATCCTCGGTGACGTCATCCTTTTACAAGTAATGTCGTCATTGTCATCGTCATCATAATTATCATCATAATTATTACCAACGTTGTTGCATCATTATCATGCAAGCTTACAAAATACAATCATGAATGACTCTTTATTAAGTCATTGATGTCGTGGTTATCATTAGCCCGTTTCATTTAAATATCACGATCGCCACAGGGCACTATCACAGTTCCCATCAACATTCTCATCATCATAGCATTCCCCATCATCATCATCGTCTATCCGTTTTCCTTCCTTTAACAGAAAGTTGGGACAAGTGCTGTTAGCGAGCATCAATGAAGGCCGCCAAGGCACACGAGAGGGGGGTGGTCAGCCGCACCCGCGGCCGCCTTTGTCTCCCCAGTGCTGGTGTTTACACAACCACGCCGAGTACTCATTGTAAGGCTGAGTCTACCTAGGGGAAGGCTTAGGACCGGTTCATATATTCCTCTCTGTTATTATTGGTCGTGAGCGGGGATCGAACTGGGGACGTCGAGTTGGAAGCGCGTTGCGTTCACCGCTCCACTAACGCTCCCCAATATAAAAACACAAATGCACATCCCCCATCACCGCCACCACCACCTCGTCACAACATCACGCTACACAATCACCACCATCGTGTGTCAATGTTCACACTCGCACCACCAACTTCGCTATCGCGGCAGCTCGGGATGCAGGGAGATTGTGGGAGGCCATGGGGACATTTGCGCAGGAAGGCGCCGGGCTGCATTCTGCCATGGGACAGAAGAAGAAGATGAAGAAGAAGGGTCCCGCCTTGCCTGCTGCCTTCGTGTTTGTTGTTGTTGGTCTAGGTCGTTGATGATGAATGCTTATTCCAAAATACTGAGCCGTGTAATCACACACACAGAGATAGAGAAGTAGTGTAACGTCTGGGATGAACCGGGGCGTCTCTGCAGAGGAAGATTCGAGACGGGCGCTGCTGCTGGGGCTACTGCTGATGTCTCTGATGCGCTTCCCCGATGCTGCTTGGGTTATGGTTGTTATTGTCTTCTTTGGTTCTTTCGGTAAAGTCACGTAGAATAAGAATAAAATAATACAATTTTATGGTTATTATTTTATTATTCTATTATTTTATTCTCATTCTACGTGACTTTACCGAAAGAACCAAAGAAGATGAATCCTTGCAGTCACGACAGCTTTAAATCGAAAATTATGGTTATGGCTTTGATGTTTCTGCTGCTGTCCACTGCTGGCGTTGTTGATTCTGCTGATACTGATACTGTGCTGCATTGATTCTGACGCTCTCTCTGCTGCTGCTGCCCTTTCTGATATTGTTTCTGCTGCTGTTTCCCACCACGCTGCTCCTCCTGCAGTTTCTGTTTCTGCTGTTTCATTTGCTGCTGTTGCTGCTGTTGATTTTGAGGTGGCTTCTGCTGCTGATGTTTCTGATGCTACTGCTGCTATTGTTGCTGTTTCTACTTATAATGCTTTTGATTACGCTACTTCTGGTGGTGTTGATGGATGTTTCTACTAATTCTGCTCACGTTACTGATACTGTATCTGGCGCTGCTGATGATAATCATGTTTTTGATGCCCCTTTCTGATGCTGCAGCCAACTACTGCTGATGTTTATGTGCCCGGGGCAGTTCATGCCACCGCTGCCGTTGAGATGCGATGTGAGAGATGGCCGGAACGACTGTCACGCATTTTCTGAAGGCAAACGGATACTCACCATGACGTGTGATGGATGCTGGGGTGAGAGGTGTCCACTAGATAACAATACAGCAAGTGGGATCATGAGCCTAGCTGTGCGGTGGGTTTTCTCCGGGTACGTAGGTTCCCTGCCGTACACATGGAGCAAAGTGCTCATTGTTTATTTCAAAATGAATCGACCAAGCATCCCAGTGTATCAGGGACCTCCTGAAAAAAGAGCCTTGAGGCCTTGATGGCACTTGGGTCTCCATTTTATCCACCCTGGGGGGATGATTATGAGCGGACCACGGTAACTTGGTGAACCCATTGATATAAATGTTTAGTATAACCGGTTACCACTTACGGTCTTCCTCGGTGCACTGCAGTCTCTTATTAGCGTTACTAAGTTAGAAAACCTGCGTCTTCATGCATCCTCGTCAAATCCATCTCGTCTTAGTCACGCTTTGGTCTCTGGCGGGCAGTCATCGCCACCGTCGCGCTTGATGATATTCGTCCACTCGTAGTCATCGTTGACGATAAATGCACAATTTTGACTGTTTCCGTCGATCATCTCGTTAACAAATCCAACAGCGGTGTTAGGGTGGGATAACGTGGGGGGTGGGAGGAACAGAATGAGGCAGTAACTCTATCATCGCCAGATAATCTGCCAAATTGGCCGTAGGAAAAGCCAGCGATACGATAAAGCTGCTGCCGGGATTATCCGCGTCTGTGAAAACGAGCAATCGGAGCACCAAAACCGGTCTCTTATGAAGCTTTGGGTTCAAGCCTCCGGCCTGAGTGTATCTCGGGCGGCTCATGACCATGTGAGAACACTGAAGCCTGCATCAGGAACACTGACAAAGCTCATTCGAGCGACGACCGTGTTCGATCTGAGTTTCCACTGTGCACATATCCATAGACGTGTGATGACACATTGATTGAAATCAATTCTTGTAATTATCACTCTTAAATGGGAGTTGACCAAACATCCCAATATAGCACCAAGTGCTTGGGCAATTGTTGGTGCCGGTTGTGGTTGCCCTCCCACCTAAGGGGGCAAACAGGAGTAGCAAGCTCTTGATGGGATTGTGCTGGTGGTGGCATTGGCAGAGGTGTTGGGGTCAGTGGTGTTGATGTTGGCGATGGTGTTGGGGGTTGTAGCGGTAGAGGCGGTGGTGTTGGTGGCCACAGTGGGGGCGGTAGTGGCAGTGGTGATGGTGGATGTAGCGGTGCTGCTGTTAGTGGTGTTAATGATAGGTGGTGGTGGTGGTGTAGGCGGTAGTGGCGGTGGTGTTGGCAGTGGCATTGATCGTGGCGCTGGTGGTGTTGATGATGGTAGTGTGTACGAGTAGAAAGCAAGGAGGCTGTGTTTGGTTGAACTCTGCATATCCGCTCACTGTACGCTGTGTATTTTGTGCTGTTCGTCTTGTGTTTCTAGCTCCGGGCTATTAATAACATCACAGCTCCTCCGTGCAGCACCTGCCGTGTGGTTTCCCTCTCTCCCCAGGGCTTGTTGTCGCGAATGGAGATGATTGCAAATGCAATGTTAATTGCCTTTGCAGGGACTCTGTGAAAGTATTTTTTTTGTTTAGACACCCCTCACTCCCAAGTTTGCTAAATTTAACATCTCACGGCTGTACAAGAGGTCGTGGGTTCCATCCTGACCCTTATGCCTGTGTCGTGGGTTCAAACTGACTCGCAGACGCACTCTTTGGAGGCAACACGTTTATTTACATCAACACGCTAACACGAAGGGGTGACTGCCCCTGCACCGGATAACAACCTATGATGGTGGTCCGCCAGACTAACTACACTAATTACACTCGGGGTAGCTACAATGGACGGGAACCCCAGCTTGGGTCCAGGTCCACGTGTTGATGACTCTTCTTGGACGTCAGACATGGAACGTCGATTCTTCAGGATGACAACAGCAGCCGGTGCCGCTCAGGGTTCCGGCTTATCACCTGTGTGGCGGGGCTCGCTCCGCCCCTAGCCACGCCCACCTTCTCCAAACCTCGAGAAGGATCTTCACCTGGACACGTGATCACCCCAGCCCCCTCTTTGGGGGTCCCCGGGTAGACACCTCCGGTCACGTGTCCTCCGGGTTCAACCAGAGTGCCATGGCCCCCTTGAAACCCCGTGACGTGCTCGGCACTCTCGCCCTCTATCCTGTAAGGGCTGGCGCTGCACGCAGAGCGTGGTGCCATCCGTCACTGTCAGTCAGTGCTCACCGGGCCCCGCTTGAGCCGGGACTGCATCCACCTTCAGTGGTGTCTGCATCGTGCGCCGTGCCTCTCCCAGGCCGGCTTCACGCAGTGACATACAACGATGTCACTTCGCCTGTATATTTTGAGTTTGCTAGTTCTTCCCGTGGTCATGTGGACAATAAAAACAAGTTTAGTTGATACAGTAGTTCAAAGAGACAATTTAAGCAATGAAGAAATAACAGGGGTCCACCAATGATGCCCCTGTTAAAGCGGAAGGGATTGAGTGGGAATGGGCCAGAAACGACTGACGAGACATGAGAGACGAAACTGTCTCCGGAGTGGAGACCGAGAAGCAGCAGAGGAAGAGAGCAGTGGGTACTGCAGCAGCAGCAGTAGCGATGAAGCGACATCACAGAATTCAGAGTTCGGAGGCCACGGCTGGACAGGGACAACTTGGGGAAAGGAGGGAATGGAAGAGGATGGGGGCAGGCCTTTGACCATCAGTGGCAAGTTACAGGCTGCCAACAACAACAACAATAACCTCCAACACACGAAAACAAACAGAAAACCATCCCCTGTGTAGCTTACAAAGACTGTTGGAGTAAATGGTGTCGGTGAGCACCTAAAGACAATCATCCGGCTCATTTTCGCGTGAAATTTAAGTGTTGGTCTCATAACCCCACAATGACCCCGAGTGCCAATCCCGACTGAGTGTGTGTGTGGGTACAAGGTGTGTGCTTCTCCTAGGTCCACTCAGCCAAATAAATATTGTTTGGGTTGTGTCAACAAATGGTGGGGCACGTGGCAAGGGCGGTCAGGCAAGCGTGGTGTGTGTGGTGAGCGTGGTGAGCGTGGTGTGTGTGGTGTGGTGTCTACGTGGTGTGTGTAGGTGGGTGTGGTGTCTGCGTGGTGTGTGTGGTGAGTGTGATGTGCGTGGTGTGTGTGGTGTGCGTGGTGAGCGTGGTGTGTGTGGTGTGGTGTCTGCGTGGTGTGTGTAGGTGGGTGTGGTGTCTGCGTGGTGTGTGGGGGCCGGAGTTTCCTTCATAGATGCTCGCTCACAGCACTCGCCCCAACAGTCTAGTTAGCGAATTTGTGTGCACGTGTGTCTGTGAGTGTGCCGGTGAGCGGCGAGAAGTAGTGTGGTGCGTAACGCACTGCGCTACAAACCCAGCAACCCGAGTTGGACGATCGCTCACAATCAGCAGCAGTTGTCAATATGTGAACCGGTACTGGGCCTCCCCTAGGTCGACTCAGCCTTAAACGAGTACCTGGCGCAGTGCGTAAACATCGGCACTGGGGCGGCCGGGCGTGGTGTTGGCCGCCTACTCCCATCGCGTGCCGTGTCGGCGTTCGTCGGTGCTCGCCCCCGGCATTCTGCTTAATCTACAAGGGGCTGGGGGGGGGCCTCTTTGTTGTCTCTGCTTGACGCAGCAAGCCCAGCGGAGGCCGTGTGCGTGGAGGTGGACTCCGTCGACAGGGTGGTGGTGAACGACACGATCAAGCTGACGTGCATCTCGTGTCGCAAGCGGCAGGAGCAGGACGCCTTTGTAGACGTCACTTGGACGTTCCAGCCCAAGGGGGAGAACACGACCGCCGTGGACGTGAGTCACGCCTCCTCGCTCTGCTCACAGTCCTCACTCTCCTCTCTCTCCTTACTCTCCTCTCTCTCCTTACTCTCCTCTCTCTCCTTACTCTCCTCTCTCTCCTTACTCTCCTCTCTCTCCTTACTCTCCTTACTCTCCTCGCTCTCCTCTCTCTCTCTCCTCTCTCTCCTTACTCTCCTCTCTCTACTCTCTCTCTCCTCTCCTTACTCTCCTCTCTCTCCTTACTCTCCTCTCTCTCTCTCCTTACTATCCTCTCTCTCCTTACTCTCCTCTCTCTCCTTACTCTCCTCTCTCTCCTTACTCTCCTCTCTCTCCTTACTCTCCTCTCTCCTCTCTCTCTCCTTACTCTCCTCTCTCTCCTCTCTCCTTACTCTCCTTACTCTCCTCTCTCTCCTCTCTCTCCTTATTCTCCTCGCTCTGCTCACAGTCCTCACTCTCCTCGCAGTGGATAGAATGTGGCTAGTTAACAGCACACCTGTCAACCCACACGTTTCACCCGTATTCTTGTACAGGGAGATTGAGTTTTCAGGTCCATACGGCGTACGGCTGTTTCAATGCGGGCAAAATAATGTCTATTTGTTTGTGTTTCTCCCTTGTGATGGGACTTTGTAGGATGAACGTTGAGATTTATAAGGGGGCACGGGGTGACCAATAAGGCCAGAATTGGTCTGTAATAAGGTAGGGCACTGATAGGGGGTTGACAGGTATGTGACAGTCATGTAGTGATGATTATGACGATGATGATAAATACAAACATCTTCCATACACTATGAGTAGAAGCAGTAGTAGTGTTTTTTCACGGTGCAGAAGTGTGGCATAGTGTTGAGTGGCGCAGTGGAATGGTGTAGTCGTGCACAGAAGTGGTGTAGCGGTGCAGTGTTTGCATGTCGTGGTGTGGCGTAGGGGTGGAGTGTGGTCGTACAAAACCTTGACCTGTCCTAGGTGCGTGCGGATGTGGCGACTCTTTCACCAGTTGACCTCGTGAGCGTGCGCCAATGTTGAGGCCAGTGGCTGTGGAGATTGTCAGTGGTGGGCAAAGTCTGCAGAGTTGCAGGAGAGTCGCGTGTCCGGCGAGTGTCTCCCGGGTGGGTAGGTGTCGGGCGTGTTTGGCGAGGGTCGTGTGGATGACTGGTGAGTGGTGACGTGGGAGTGGCCGAGGTGTCTGGTGAGTATCTGGCGACGGTGTGAGGTGGCGAGTAGTGTCGGGGTGTCCGAGTGAGTGTTGAGAGTGGCTAACAGGGAAGGGGTGGGGCCAGTGGTGGAGAAACCGGTGTGGAGAGAATAGTTGGGAGAAGGGGAGTGAGCCGATGTGGAAGATAACATCGTCTGTAGGATGGGCTACCATTTAGTTGTTATTCATTGTTGGGGGTTAAAGAAGGCTTTGGCTTGGAAAGGAAGACCTAGCTTCTTCAATGCCTGCGTAGCCAGATAGGTAATATGGCAGCTAATGTAAGATTGTTTTGCCAAGCAGATTAAGAAAATTATTGTTAAATATGCGAGAAACTGTGATATTTGCAGCCTTACCTGATATTATTATTATTATTGGGTGTCTCCTTCAATGTTTGTCTCTCATTGTAATTCCAAGCACACGCCACTCTATGCCTCTTTTCACACTTTTCAGCATCGCGCTTTCTTTTGTCGGTGTCCACCATGTGTTTTTTTAACGACTGCACCGTTTTACAAAAAAGCATTTTTTGTTGAAAACAGAAAGCAAATCCAAAAGAAACCACATGTCACCCCCTGCGTGCAGATCCTGGTGATGAAACGAAATGGTGAGAACATTAAGGTCATGAACCCGCAGTTTGAAATAGGGCGTATACGGCTCGCTTCCAGCAAGGACTACCAGGTAGGGCCACCGCGATATGGCGATACTGTGATACATTGCACGATTCATGTTCCATGATAATCATAACCTCCGTACGGTAAAAAAAATATCATTTCGGGAATTGTTGGTGCATGCCTGTTATCCAGTACTGTGGAGGTAAGGGTTGTTGGATCGCACAAATGTTGCGAAATTTTATTTCTGTAGGTGTTGAGGAGGAGCCATACCTTTGCTCACCAGAACGAGGTCCAGCAAAATGCAAACTAATTTCCATCTGTCCCTTCTGTATGGGATAGAGGGTTGTCCCCCCGTATTGGTTGAAAACATCTTAAGATGCAGAGGATTGCAGAGCTTGGGTAATTGTTGGTCCCGGCTCACCATCTGGTGGTTTGCCTTCCAGCTGTTGTGGTGCCTCAGGGATTATGAGATTGAATTTGCTCGAATGACGATTTTATACAACACGAAACATTCAGAATATTTCATTAGACCTCCTTTGCCAGTACCAAAATATAATAATAGGGTTTGTCCCCTTTTTTCTGCCAACAAAACTGAAACCTTTTTACAAGGATTCATGTCTGCATTAACCACAATACCTGCAGTCAAAATGCAAACAAAAACATACGATGATAATATATGCTTTGTTCTTGAAACTGATTGGTCCACACCAAGGAACGAGCACCAATTGGGTCGAGGCTCAAAAGAACGCCGTCCCTTGGTGTGGACCAATCAGTTTCAAGAACAATGCATATATTATCATAGTATGTTTTTGTTTGCATTTTGACTGCAGGTATTGTGGTTAATGTAGACATGAATCTTTGTAAAAAGGTTTCAGTTTTGTTGCCAGAAAAAAGGGGAAAAACCCTATTATTATATTCAGAATATTTTATATATACAAAATTATTAAGACTGATTCCAGTTCCAGCTAAACGCCAAAAATAAATGAGTGCTTTAAATAATAATTCTCGGTGTAATTGTCGACATGGGTTTTGTATGATCTAATTATTTTCATGGTTCATTTCACGATTTAACGTGTAACTGACAGCATGTGCATTGTAAGCGTTGTAGTTGGTAAAATGTGCAATGATGTACAAACTAAAGGCCAAAAACACTTTAATACTGTATATAGAGGACGACAGAGCTTGGGGTGAAAGATTGGCGCTGGCGCGCCACCTGGCCACCCTTCCCGCTCGTCTCTGGTTCCTCCTCGCACCTCCGAGTCGTTGTCTCTCTTCGAGAGCGAGCGGAAATGGTGCGGCGAGTTACAAAGTTGAAATTATTATTGGTAAAAAATAAAACCTATGGCTGGCTCATGAATAATAATATTTCGACGAACTTTGCTGGTTATTTCAGAGGCCGGCGGTTTAAGCACGGCGAAATTCATGGTTAATCCTGCAGGGATATTAACCATCAAGATACACATTTTTCTTTAAAGATCCTGTGATGTTATTCAAAAGACAGTCGCCCATCTGTGCCGGCGTCACGGTCCAAGTACTTCATTTTTTATACAATTGCTCTCAAATTGCTTTTCATTGGGAAGCCACGTAGAAATATTGCTTCGTCCTGCCCAACTAATGCCCACTCCGGGGCTGTGTTCACCACCCAGTGCTGCATAGGGACAGCTGCCAATGGGGGTCCCCTACCGCAGGGCGCCCCGAGTTGTACTCGTGGCAGGCGTACATACTAAGTGATGACGATGGTAACGATGATGCTCCCCACTAACAGGAGGTGTCCCTCGAGATCAACGACACGAAACTCGATGACATGGGGACCTACCGTTGCCATATCTACCGCATCCTCGTGATGCCCACCGTCCCCTACCCCCCTGAGTTCTTTGTGACGAAGACCATCCACCTCGAGGTGCTCCCTGAACGTGAGAAGCTGCCACACCACTCACCACTCCGTCTTTGCACGTAGCGGCCGGATTACGACGCGGGCTTTAGGGGGGCTTCAGCACAAGGCATGGGACTTTGATGTCGCCACAAAAACGATAAGCAATTTTGAAGTTACTTAATGAATTAGAATCTTTGTGACCGTGTGGGTAGGAACAACGTGGTGGATTACCAAGCCGTGCTGAAGAAAGAGCGAACCATCTTGCCATGTCGCTTGGTCTGTGATGCAAGCACGTGATGGTTTAATCAGTTGAGCAACAGTGCAAACGTGGTGCAGTTTAGAACCTGTACATGTTTTACACTTGTTTTCATCTCTCAGTCTTGGACAATGCGTTTATCACTTTGGCCCGTTCAATTGGGTAAGTTCCTCAGCAACACAACTTCATTAAATCAGTTATGGTTCCTTTGATCGCTCGACCGTTGCTTGGATAACTGTGGTAATTCTAGAGCTAATACATGCTGACGAGCGCTGACCTCCGGGGATGCGTGCACTTATTAGATTATTATTATTAGATTATTATAAAATGTCCTTCATTTTGGATCTCCTATATGAGCTTTAACTGCGCCAGAAATCCCCCATCACATTAAATGTGGTTCTACGCTTAATTTCGCTACGTGCCAGCTCTAAGAATTCAATATTGGTTTGACTGCCACGCAACGGGCGTTACTCTCAGTGGCAGAGCGGGTGAGAACGTGCTGCCCTTGAAGTGATCTCAAATGTAGCTCTGTGATATCCACTTCTGCGGGTTGCTCTCTAACACGGAGACTCGTAATGCTTAGCGAGAAATCCAAGTGGTTACTTCATCTCACGACAAGATGCCAGAGTGCAATTGGCATAACACCGGGGGGGGGAATAAAACAACAACAACAACAATAGAGAGACCGTGGTTTTTATTCCCTATTCGCTGTGCGCAGCCTTCATGGACGTGACGGCAAAGGTGTCGGAGGTGATGATGTACTTCATGATCGTCGCTAGCACCGTGCTGCTCATCTTCACGCTCATCACGTGCTACAAGCAAGTGAAGCAGGCTGACATAGACAAGCGTAACAAAGTGTGAGTGTCACACCCAGCGATAACGACGACCTGCACACGATGAACGTTATGCATTCAGAAAATGTGGCGAGGTGTTAACTCTCTCGCCTGGTATGCAGGAGGTCGTGGGTTCGATTCCGACCCTGATGCCTGCTGTATATTTGGAGTTTGCGTGTCTCTCTCTCTCCCCATGGTTGCGTTTATTTTTCTCCGGGTCCTCCGGTTTTTCCCTGCACATTTTGAAACACGCGTTTAGAGTATTTGTTTTCTGTAAATTTCCACGTGATAAGCCACTTTTTTGAGCTATAATTTGTGGCCAGGTTGCTTCTGAAAAAGATCTGTATATAGCTCAGTGGGCCTTACCTGAGAGAAATAGAAAGTTGTTTTAGTTTAGTTTTAGATTGATAATGATGCGGTCCACACAGACGGGTTCGTTCGTGCTATTGATGAAGGTTGGTGAACGTTTTACCTGCACGGCTGGAATAAAACTGGGAGCATGTCTGATATGACACGCCTTAACAACGAGGGCAGTGTCGCAAACCCCACCGTAGTACGATACCTCTCACTCTCCCGCCTGCGTTCCCAGCCCTCACCAATCCGATGTGACCAGCGTGCGCTGGAGTACGGTCAAATAACCCCCCCTCCTCCCCCGGCGAGGCGTTGGGGAGGCCCTTATCCAGCAGCGGATGTGCGACGGGGGCCTGTCGATGTTCTATGCGCACACGTGAACCTTCGCTCATCCTTTTCCCCTCTCCCGCCGCGCCGCAGCACTGACCTCTTGGTCATCGCCCCGGTGAACAAGGAGAACTGCGCTACAGAGCAGGCGGAGGAAGAGCTCAAGAGCAGCTCCTGAGCCGCTCGTGCAGCCACCAGCAGCTCGGACGCCGCAAGAGCTGTTCTCTTACGGCACGGCCCAGCGGGGTGGGCGCCGCTGCCATCGCCATTCATCGGCTTTCCAATGTTTTGTCTTTTTTTATTTTTTGCCTTCTTCCCTCCCCCAACTCACCCCCCCCCCCCCCCTCCACGTATGAGATGGAACGCGACCGAAAGGATGTCCACCGAGGTCGATGGAGCGATGAGATCACGTCGCGTGCAGGTTCTGGGGGGGATCACTGTATCGCATGATCGTGAGAGATGACGACGACCAGGCCTTAATCCAGCAGTGGATTAAAAATTGTTGATGATTATGAAAAGCACTATATATTCTATACAAAAATATTACTCGGAAATTATTAGAACGTGTATTCAGATGCCCTTCCAGGAAATGTATCCTACTCGTGACCTGGATGAAAAGGTATGTCCGTTAAATATAAACGCATTTAGGGCATGGTGAATAGGAAGCATAAATTGGCTCCATGTGACGAATTCCATCCAATCACAGGCAGCGCATATCAGGTTGCTGTGAAAACGGTGTGTAAATTGCAGAACATGTCACAGATTCGATCCAATCACAGATATCTCTAATCAGAAAGCACCTGTGGGAAAAAAGTCATGATTCAAAGTACACCAACACTAGTAAACCCTTCATAAGAGACAATTCTGTATTGAAACGATATAAACTTACTCAACTCACAGATATAAAAACAAAGGTGATTTTGATTTAAATCAATAAAACGTTGATTTCATCTGCTTATTACCGGAAACCCGGTAAATGATATCACTTTTAGTCATTTTAATTTCTATTTTGTATCCTCACGTAATTTGATCTTTCGTTGACTTCGTAAACGGGGTGGAATTGCTCTGCCTCTCCAAACTTGTTTATCTTTAAAATATCATACACGTGTAGTTATCGACTTCCGACACACGTCTAGTAGAAGCTTCTTATTTATTAAGAGCACACAGGGCGATACACTTCGTAACGCGGCTACACCCAGGCTGTCTAAACACGCAGCCCATCTCCGTCCTGCGTAGCTATGCTGGCTGGTTGACGAGCGTAGCGGCGGCGACGGAGCTGGACTTGCAGAAGAACAGCCACGTGGTCGAAGACGAAGAGATGACGATGGCAGTGACGCAGCCAGGATCCAGACCCCATGCTAACAGCCCCGAACCTCTGGTTCAGTGCTCCTTATAGCTGCCTGCTGCAACCAAGCTCCACCCCTGGCCATGCCCCCTTTCCAGAACCTTCGGGTTGGTTCCTGGAGCTTCTCGACTGACTCCACCCTTGACCTTTACCCCAGATACGCCCCTTCATAATAAGGCATTATGTAATGCAGCTATCATCGCAATTACCCTTACAGGCCAGCAGGTGTCACCCTGTCATTACACACGTATCAATTACATTAACATCAGAAACATTTAACTTGTACTACGCGTGCTATACGCACTACACAGAGGTATGGTATATAAGCGGTACTCTATGTGTGGCTTAACAACAAGACTCTATTTATCCAGAGCCTTCGTGACAAAGCCCAGAAAGCGATGAGCAATGAGCCAAAATATTTATGCACTCGTGAGATATCAAAAGCAATCTGATGCGTAACTCTGGTTGCAAACCGTACATTCGGTTTAATGTGCATTGAACTTATTTCATGAACAGTCTGGGCAGTTGGAGGTAGCTGGGTGCCTCTGCTAAGAACCTGGGTTCAATACAAATCCAGCTTTCGACTGCCCGGGCCAGAATTATTGCTAAAAAATAAAACATTGCATTGTGTCGAAATGGGATTTTCACTTGATTTGACCAACATTCTAGTCCTGGTATGCAATCACATTCAATGCCACTGCCACAATAGCTCACCGTCTCGTGACTTGATACTGGTGGCACATTTGGAATACAATTGGGAAAGAGGAAAACGCACGAGGTTGTGCAGCTTAAGAGGTGATCGTGTTTAGGGGTTTAGGCTCCATGAGTCTTCTCTTGAAATTCGAAGACGGCCCAGTCCCACTGGCCCATTTCAATCAAGTCCTACTGGCTCTTGATTACCGAGTGGGGGGTGGGCGGGGGGGCGACTTGAGGGGTCGATCCGTTGGTGGCTATGCACACCTGTGACTCGGCGAGGGGCTGATGGATCATGTAGAGTTTTGCGAGACTCGCTGGGCCTATGACGTGGTGGCCACGAGATGAGTGGGTTTTAGTAATTAAGATACCTCCGATGTGCAAAACAGGTCGTGGACAAACGTCCCAATGCAGAATCTTTGATAAAAAAAAAAGTATTGAGACTCGGAAAAACTTTCCTGGATTTATAACTGGCATTACATTTGTGAGCACAGGAGTGGATTGGATGGATCAGATTCACTGGGGGTTTGAACGATACGGCTGGATAGTCTTAACTCGTACAACAAACGCTGACACTGGAGTTTCGTGTTCTGTTCTACGGCATGACATTTTTTTACACAAAATACTTTTGCATATTCCGTAGCTTTTATTTGTAGGGTTGGATAAAGCTATGCATTGCTTGTAGTGTGCTGGACACTCGTGCGTAAAACACGGTGTGGCTGGGATTTTTTTATGATTATTATCAGGGTTTAATTTCTCATGGGATATTTTCTGATGCCCCCCGCAACACCAAATTCTTGTGACCCCCCTCCACCCCACTTCCCATCCCTGATAGCGGACAGGGGAAGGCAGGGACATTTTACAGAGCTCCGGCCCAGGCAGCTCCAGTTGAAATGAAGCCCTACTTATTGTTCTTTAATAAAGCGTTTTAATATTCGTAGCAAACCTCGGAGCGAATAATGTCTGTGCTGCTCCTGCGCACAGTCCATTGACAACGCACCAATCGCAAAGCAGAGACACCGACGGGGCTTTTAACAAAACACCAAGTGTTATCGTGTTATAATGCTTTGCATATTATATACATATCTTATTGGTGTTTAAGGGCACGTTATACTACTGCTTTGGTTCTCCCCGGGTTGTGCTGCATGGCTCTCCGATGGCTTTTCAGGTTGTACCGCCTTGTTGCTGCTGCAGCAGCAGGATATTCCAGCACGTGAAGTGAAATATCAGACATCCTGCCGATCGACACAGAATACAACCTGAAAACACATCGGAGAACGAAGTGCACTGAGTGCGAGGAGATGGGATCGGAGGCTGACATTGTATAATCCTTCCGAAGCTAAAGTTGTACTTAATCCCACGGAATGACGGGGTTAGTTTTGAATGTCATGTTTAATGCATGCAGCAGCACATATACGCATGTGTTGTACTGAGCATGACGTTTTTATTTGATGCAGTGTCATGTAGAGCAGTATTCGCACAAAATACGTTTCCAAAGAAAAACGGCTGCGACGTTTTCTGACCGCATACAGGGAGAGCTTAAATCTGAGTATCGACCCGAGTACGAGTGCAGTGCAGTGCTAACCAGCGCTTACATTTCTGAAGTATTTTCCAGGTCGCCGGTAGATTGGAGTACGTGGCACGTGCCTGGCAGATCCAACCCATAGCGAGACGTATACTGGACGTGGTGCGCCAGGCGTGGAAATATTCTCCCGGCTGAAATGAAGCCCTGGCGCTAACGGACACTCGTCGACGTTCCGTGCGGAGGCGTGCGTGCGGGGTGACTGCGCCCTCTTACTCGTGTCCTTGCGGGAAAGCGGCTGGCCTGCATGCGTGTTGCATCGGTACGTTTCACTTGCTCGTTTGATTTATTTAATGTCTGCCAACAAGCCTTCGGACGTACGCGTCATTTTAAATGGACCGCGTTCTCTTGGCAACCGTTTCCACTGTCATGACGTTTTACAAATACCGATTAAAGATGCTGTTGAAACGCATCAGGTCACAGATTGTGTGTGCTTGTGTGCGCTTTAAGCATCGTCCAACACCGGCTAAACGTGCTCTCAAACTCTGTGCGACAGAACTTGAGCTCAGCCTTCGTGCATATGCAAAAAACTATCAGCATTTCTTTAAGTGCATTGTGGTCCTCTTGTCTTTGGCCACCATCACAATGACCTTTTAACTGCAATGGTGGTCAAAGACAAGGGGACCACAATGCATTTGGTCAGATTTCTGTTGTTGCAAACCTGTGGTTTTACATCCTGCACTATTCTGTTAAGATGGGTATTTATTGCCATTTATCGAGTTGACGATAACTCCAGATGCAGTCCGGCCAGCGGGTTCTGATATATATTTTTATCAACTCGAGTTGGTGTCTGAATTTGGGCTGCAGCCAAATTCTCTGGGCAAAATTTGCTTCACGGGTTCACTTGATTTCCCTCAGTCAGAATTCTGGCCGAGGGGGAAATAAATCACTAAACGTGTTATTGAAAATGCTGTAGGTAACAATAACTTAACGTTTCGTTTTCTCTGCAAGTGTTGGCATTTTGCTCATGTATTTCTGGGAAAGTCTTTCTCGCGAAAATATTTTTGAGAAAATGCCTGCCAAGTAGCTCTACCAATCAATGTAGATCACTTTTTTACCAATGGATATCCATTCAAACTCGGATTCTGGGAGAACTCAGGCTGACTCGAATTGGCACTCCCACGGAAACTAGGCATTAGACGCAAAGTGCACCGTAGCAATCGCTTCCTGGCGAAATGGCCATGCACAAATGCTCATTAAATATTGACGCAGGTGCAGTGGAGCGTGTGTAATTTACTGAGCCTGAGCAGCGGCTGTACGGGCCCTTTACAATGCCTCCAGACAATAGCCCACATCGCAAATCAGCAATGTCAGCAGATCCGCATGCAGCCCTCAGTCGACTATTTGGACCCCTTTAAAATGGCAGCCACAATGACACCCTTGCCCCTTGAAGACAGGAAACTCAGCGTGGCACAGCTGATGATCCCATTGATTTCAACTAACCCCATCTGTCACCTCCCGTCGAGCGGCACAACGGGGGAACAGAGGCGAGACTTTTTCCCCAACTACAGTGTTTCGTATTTATCATATTAGTCGAGTAATCAAAGTGATAATCGCGAGAGCTATAGATTACTTTAATGATAACCTGGCTCGAACAGCATGAACCCCAGGATCACCACAGCCTTTAATGGTGTGAGACAGTGGTTAAAAACTCGCCTGGCAGACACTTTCATTGAAAAAAAAGAGGCAACTGGACATTTTAACTTTACGTGCAGAAATAAGTCCATTGAGACCTGATGAAGTGTGTTTTTTTTATGGAGACCTGGGACTGACAAAGCAAAACGCAACAAATTAAAATGTGTAAATATACTGAAATTGGTCTACATGATGAGCATTGCAAGGTTTTATTTGGTCGTCAGGTATATGTATGACCAGGGAACTGTTATGCAACGGTTGGCACACTGTGCCAATGAACGCAATGATTCCAGTTCCAATTCCCCGCCACGCGACACATCAGTGGCGAGCAATATCTGAACCGGTCCTGGGTCCACGCCCCCGTCATCAAACGGCACAGACCAGCACGGTAAAATGTGGTCACACCAGCCCCGTGACTGGACGCGGCATGAGAGACCTTCATTCAGCAGTCGAGCTGTCCCTTATTAATATTATTTGCAGGACGGCACAGCATTCTGCAAATGTACTTGCGCACAAGAACAAGATGATTAAAGTAATGAATGTCGCCCACGATGATTGCATCATTTGTATATTGTTGACATTCTATACACAAAACTAATTATCTTGTAAAAACATAGGGTAAGTGGAACATTTGGCAAGCAAAACTGGTGCATGTCCATACAGCTGCTCGTAAATTATTAATTGCTGAAATGTGCCTCTCGCTGCCATCCATTGTCCCTGGCGCTGTCCCCTCCGCCTGAGTCTCGCACGCTCAGCTGGCACCCACCGCTCGAGCCGAGGTGGCTACGCACATTGGGCGACTCAAGAAGAGGGCGACTATAATTTCATTTATATCGTTTATGAAAGAGGAGATTAAATCAATCCATTGAGACACGTGAAACACTGCCGCCTTTGCAAGGGCGACCCGGGTTAAATCATAATCATAACTTAATATCAATACCGCTCCTCCCATCTCGAGGTGCCCCGTGGTAGGGGACCCCCCCAGTGGCAGTTATCTCTGTGAGAGACAAGTTGAACGCAGCAATGGCCAGCACATTGACATTAGCCTGCTAGCAGAGGGCAATGTTGCCACGTGGCTTCCCCATTAAGGTAATTTGCGAGTACTTGATAAAAAAAAAATTGCCAAATTTTGTCTACGACGCTGGCACACATGGCCTGCTCTCTTTTTTTTTTCACAACATCACGGGATCTTTGAACGTCTACTCCTGTGAAAGCAGACGGCGCGCACTACATGCTTAATACTGCCGGGTGTATTAACCAGGGCGGCCGGCGCGATATCGAACCGCAACGCTCTGCAACAAGCGGCCGAAGCGCGCTGCCGCCGGCTTTCGGCGCGCGTGCCTCCCGACTACGCGGCGTGGGCGACCCTCACGAAGAGCGAGAGCGACGCGAGCGCCACAGAGCCCGTGTACGCCGACTTTATGGCCAGGGTCATCCAGCCGCTGGGCGCCGTCGCCCACACCAGCAGCCTGCAGAGGTGGGGGCGGGAAGATGGCGTGAGCGAGCGTTATTACGGGGAGTTGCCTGCGCCTGCCGCCGTCGCCCACATGTTCGTGCGTCTTTATACAACAGACGTGGGCAAAGTACGGCCCGTTGGGCTTTTTAATCCGGTCCGCCGAACTTGTCCAAATATTATTATTAAATTAAATTTTCCCCTTCTCCTGTAATGCCCCCATTTCCCCATTAGATGGCGCACTTTGACTAGGAGTTACGACATGTTTTTGTATTTTGATTTAAAGCTTTCGTGACTGCAGTAATTCATATTCTTAGTTTTTTCGGTAAAGTCACGTTGAAGAGTAACAACAAAATAATAAAATATATATAAAACAATAAAAAAATTCTCACGACGTTTCGACCATAACTCAAACGGTCGTCTTCAGGTGTGTTGGTTCGCAATAAATTTATGCGAACCAACACACCTGAAGACGACCGTTTGAGTTATGTCGTGATAATTTTTTATTGTTTTATATATATTTTATTATTTTGTTGTTTCTCTTCAACGTGACTTTACCGAAAAAACTAAGAATATGTTTTTGTATTGTTCATGTTCGTGCAATTTGTTAAATTGCCTTGCAAATAAATGCTTTGCTACCTGTTAAAGGCCAAATCCTTTCATGTAATGATTTTTACATGTCATTTATATAAGTTCACACAAACACTCCATCCATCTGTTCCTGGCCCGGCCCCTCTGTTAAATTTTAGAACCCATTGTGGCCCGCGAGTCAAAAAATTTGCCCACCCCTGTTATACACGGTGATCGATGTGTAGATACCCCCACACACATACACACAAAACCTGAGACATCATAGAGAAGACAAACACTTCAATTTAAAACTGCATCTCTCCCACCCGGTGGTGGAGAATATTTGAACCAGTCTTGTGCCTGCCCTAGGGAAATTCAGCCCTAAATGAGTGGCTGTAAAGTCACAAAGCACAGCGAAAGCTCCATCTTTGGAAAAAAGCTGAGCAAGCATGTTATTTTACAGTCAATTCCGTGGTTCGGGGTGTAAACATCAGCATTGGGGATATAAAGGTGTCATTGTTCTGTGTACAGATTAGGAGCCTTGAGTATAATCGTTATGTAACCTAACACAATTAAACAAACAAACACACCCAAAACACAGTAACAACAGCTGCCATTTGCCACTGAGCTGAGGTGATATCCTCACTATGCTTGGGCCAGGCTCAGTGCACTTGGAGATGTTATTATTATTTGTGTAAAGAAAATTAAGCTCACAACACATGCAAGCAATCGTAACTGTAATAATACATTTTATTTAAATGTTCAACTTGGGCTAACTGAACCGACGAAAATGCTACAAATGAGTCAGGACAAACAAGAAACAAGACAAATAAGATGGCAAAAAAGGCCTTGATTCTTGAATAGATTCACCACAAAGGATCATTATAATTCACTGAATCACAGAGGTGAATCGTTACACCCACATCCTCTAATATAGCAATGCACACACACACACACAATGAAAAAGACAAAAATTCACAATATAGCCAGACTGCTGGGGCAAGTCTCCTGTGTTGTGTAGACTATCAGACGGATCTTTGTGCCACTGAGGAGACTTGCCCTAAGAGTCTGTATGGCTCTATGGGGCATATTTCTCTAACACTCGCATCGAGGCACACATCGACGAAACATCGACGACGATGATAACAACAAGAGGGGCAGCTCACTCGACGAGGAAGTTGCGGTAGATGGCGAGCGCGAGCAGCGCGGAGACGATGGGCGTGAGGCCACGGGGAAGATCGTACCGCGACCACATCCACACCAACGCCGCGGCCGCCACGTAGTGCGCCTGTGGCGTCAGCGACAATGGTTATCGATTTCGGGTCGGTGAGGAGAGGTGCAGGGACAAGCGCTACGGGCAAGGCTCGGAGATACAACACAATATAGCTGAGCTATCTGATTTATCCGAATAATTGATCGACTGCTCTACCATTTAACGGTTCGATACTGTCCACTCAACTAATCGGGCAACACGAATACAGCTGTGGACCGCTGGATGGGAGGTGACGGGCAGGGGTTGCTGACATCAGCTTTGGCAGCCGTCTCTTCAGAGGGCATCCTACCTTCGAGATGCAAGTAATTAACCACAATAAAATGAGTCTATTGCAATTTTTTGGCAATGGATTAAATCGACGATTACCACGTGTCTAGATTGATTCTCATCTCAGCTGGTAGTCCTAAACAGTTGTAAATCTAATATATACATCGATGGTATGCAAGATGACGATGGTGGCGATGGTATTGAAGGTGACGGTGGTAGTGACGGCACTGCAGGTGATGGCAATGGTGAAGGTGGTGACTGTGGTGATTAAACGCGGACTCACGAGGGTGATGTTGGAGTCGAGGCTCATCTGGATGTACTTCCAGTCGAATTCCATTCCACGGGCGCCCACCCAGAGCGGGACGAATCTGGCGCAGCACAGCAAGTGCGGTGGTCAGTAGGACACTCTCAACGCACAAAACGGAGCCTACACTGGGAGCAAATGCACAAGTCCCGCCTCCAACTGTTCACCATGACTGTAATTTTCTTGAATTTGAATTGGCTTACATTCACGTGATCACAAATTTTTACAAGCTAATAAACCTATGTATTGCATTGTCGATGTTTTTGTTTATTCAGGCCACCCCTCTCGAAGGAAAGGGCACAGACATGTGGGGAGTTGCAAGACAGGTGATGACAATGACAAATACATTTTTCGATGTAACCTCATAATTGGGTTATTTTCTCATCAAAATGCTCGTGACACTCCTGCTAATTTCCGGTCGAAGAAGCCCTCACCGGGTGGAGATCAGTTCCGCAGTGGCCCAGCCCATGGCTGCCACCATCACCTTGTACTCCCCCTTGCCGGCATTCTTGGCCATGATGAGGTGAAGGCCCAGGAGGTCACCCAGGTCAACTGTTGCCTTCATGAGCTCCTGTGCAACATGCATCGTTCACGGTGCCACAAGTTTGCAGCGCAGAAATGGGTGCATTCCACAGACAGATGTGGTGCACTCGCTGGATCAAGTCTCTCTTTGGATTGAATGGATGTGTAGAACTTTTAGTGTAAGCACCTCATATGCTTGGTGGGTTTTCTCCGGGAACTCCAGTTTCCTCCCACATTACCAAAACATCTCAATGCAGGTCTCTCCTGAAACAAGTGTCCTAATGCTAATAAACTACATTATTTTAATCTCGGCAGAGCTGGTAGCCCCTGCTTATCAGCCCTACCCACTTGTACAGCTATGCCCACTCAACCACCACCCTCCCCAAACAATGAGTGGCCTCCTGGCTCATTTTTATCTGCCCTACCTACTGCTAATAGGCCCCGTCTACTCTCTCTGCCAATCCCACCCACTACTTCAGGAGCACTGCCCAATGCCCTTATTACTAATTCATGTACAGTGAGGGAAAAATTATTTGATCCCCTGCTGATTTTGTAAGTTTGCCCACTGGCAAAGAAATGATCAGTCTATAATTTTAATGGTAGGTTTATTTCAACAGTGAGAGACAGAATAACAACAAAAAAATCCAGAAAAACGCATGTGAAAAATGTTATAAGTATTTGACCCCTCTGCAAAATATGACTTAGTACTTGGTAGGAAAACCCTTGTTGGCAATCACAGAGGTCAGACGTTTCTTGTAGTTGGCCACCAGGTTTGCATATATCTCAGGAGGGATTTTGTCCCACTCCTCTTTGCAGATCTTCTCCAAGTCATTAAGGTTTTGAGGCTGATGTTTGGCAACTCGAACCTTCAGCTCCCTCCACATATTTTCTATGAGATTAAGGTCTGGAGACTGGCTAGGCCACTCCAGGACCTTAATGTGCTTCTTCTTGAGCCACTCCTTTGTTGCCTTGGCCGTGTGTTTTAGGTCATTGTCATGCTGGAATATCCATCTACGACCCATTTTCAGTGCCCTGGCTGAGGGAAGGAGGTTCTCACCCAAGATTTGACAGTGCATGGCACCGTCCATCGTCCCTTCGATGCAGTGAAGTTGTCCTGTCCCCTTAGCAGAAAAACACCTCCAAAGCATAATGTTTCCACCTCCATGTTTGACAGTGGGGATGGTGTTCTTGGGGTCATAGGCAGCATTCCTCCTCCTCCAAACACGGCAAGGTGAGTTGATGCCATAGAGCTCCATTTTGGTCTCATCTGACCACAACACTTTCACCCAGTTGTCCTCTGAATCATTCAGATGTTCATTGGCAAACTTCAGACGGGCATGTATATGTGCTTTCTTGAGCAGGGGGACCTTGCGGGCGCTGCAGGATTTCAGTCCTTCACGGCGTAGTGTGTTACCAAGTGTTTTCTTGGTCACTATGGTCCCAGCTGCCTTGAGATCATTGATAACATCCTCCCGTGTAGTTCTGGGCTGATTCCTCACCGTTCTCATGATCATTGCAACTCCACGAGGTGAGATCTTGCATGGAGCCCCAGGCCGAGGGAGACTACACAGTTCTTTTGTGTTTTTTTTCCATTTGCGAATAATCGCACCAACTGTTGTCACCTTCTCACCAAGCTGCTTGGCAATGGTCTTGTAGCCTATTCCAGCCTTGTGTAGGTCTACAATCTTGTCCCTGACATCCTTGGAGAGCTCTTTTGTCTTGGCCATGGTGGAGAGTTTGGAATCTGATTGATTGCTTCTGTGGACAGGTGTTCTTTTATACAGGTAACAAGCTGAGATTAGGAGCACACTCTTAAAGCTCGTTACCTGTATAAAGGACACCTGGGAGCCAGAAATATTTCTGATTGAGAGGGGGTCACATACTTATTTCCCTCATTAAAATGCAAATGAGATTAGGAGCACTCTCTTTAAGAATGTGCTCCGAATCTCAGCTCATTACCTGTATAAAGGACACCTGGGAGCCAGAAATCTTTCTGATTGAGAGGGGGTCACATACTTATTTCCCTCATTAAAATGCAAATCAATTTATAACATTTTTGACATGCGTTTTTCTGGATTTTTTGTTGTTATTCTGTCTCTCACTGTTCAAATAAACCTACCATTAAAATTATAGACTGATCATTTCTTTGTCAGTGGGCAAACGTACAAAATCAGCAGGGGATCAAATACTTTTTTTCCATCACTGTATAAAGTCAGAAAAAAAGTGGAAAACCTATTATTATCATTGTTGTATTGTTATTATAATTGAACTACCATAGCACAAATGATATGCGCTCAGATGTGAGCAGTTATCGTTGCCCCCCTGGCAGTGTGCTCAAGGATTCAACACTTGGGGGCTGGATCACTTACCCCAATGAAGTCAAAGCCGCCCGCAGTTGCCCCATCAAATGTTGGGAAGAAGGTGGCGAGGAACAACATCTGCGATGAAAATAAGTACATTTGATTTAAAGCTTTCGTGACTGCAGGGATTCATATTCTTGGTTCTTTCGGTAAAGTCACGTAGAAGGGAAACAATAAAATAATAAAAATATAAAATTACATAAAATTCTCATGCTGTGGTTTTCACACCTGATGATGATTGCTTGTGTTGCAGTCGAAACGTCGTGATAATTTTGTATTATATTTTTATTATTTTATTGTTTCCCTTCTCCGTGAGTTTACCGAAAGAACCAAGAATATGAAAATAAGTACATTTGTTATAGATCTTTTAAAGAAACTATTAGAATACTGATTGAGGCCGAAAAAAACAAAGTGCCTCTGTCCATGAGTCTGTGATTTCCTCACATTTTTTACAACTACAAAAACAATCACCATAATACTCACTACAAAGTTCACCAATACCAATAACAAAAAATGCTGTACACTACATACCAATCACAATATTTTAGCAGGCAAACTCAACACGTGTCCTTTTTTCTGTGTATATGCATAGTTCTATGCACATATTTCTTTGTAAATCCCCTAAGATGGTCTTCTTCCAAGTATATGTCAGTGGACCACATCATAAAACTACAATATTCTGGTGAGTCACGTGACGTATTATATTATATCACATGGTGTTGTGATATCATAGCATCTGTACATGTCAGCAGGTTTCTGACATATATCTCTGAATAATATATATTTCATCTCATTGATCAGTAAATTTTTATGCCTTGGTGAGCCATATCTCTTTAAGGGTTACTTCAAGAATATTCGCAGACAACATATAGCCATACTCTTTGGTTCTTTCGGAAAAGTCACATAGGTATCAAATAAAATAAATCACGACCGTTTCGGGCACAACACAAGCGTCCGTCATCAGGTGGGAAAGCATGGTTTGCTGCTGAGGCAGACTGTTTTAAGCCAATGGATCACCAGTTGAAGAATCCTGTTCTAATACAATTAAGGCTCTCTTCACATACTTGCTAGCTTGTTGCAGAGGCTATCAGGAGGCTAGGACAGCCAATTTCATACCTCACAATCGCATACTTCCTTCTGCTAGAGGCCACAATGGTTGCACAGTTGACACCCCTCATCCGACTTCTGCTTAGTTTCACAAACACGTGCCAACCCATATCCTGAACTCATAGACGAGATTACACAATACATTTGTGACTATGGTTTGCTGCCCACGTTAAAGCGTGGTATGGCTTCTGGTCTATCTTAGAATATACTGTCATTGTGTGCAGAGGATACTCGAACAAGCAACGAGAAAGGTCAATGCGACAGAAAAGCACTCCAGATGTGATCAGTAAAAGACTGAAATGCATGGGGCATGTGAGTAGGATGGCGAAAAGCAGAAACAGGCTTTAGATGTAGACGTGTAAAAAGTCACCCCCACCGCCTACAATTCAATGAATTGTGACGATATGGAGTCTCAATCTCATCGGATAATTAATTTTCAGTTAACTGTTTTGTGCACGCCATGAGCTTAAATATGATCACGTTTGTAAAATTCACTGGCCTTTGTCAATCCACTGATGGACTGAGGCTTCCCCCATGCCATTACAGTCATGGGAATTGCTTGACCATATTTCACCAAGCAGTGTTACCTATCGCCAGGAATTAATGGTACGGCCAAAGGGCAAACTCTTAACAGTCATGGGACACTGTGAGCGTAGACTTCGGAGGCCACACGTTGACTGTAAAACAGTTGCAAAATAAGCGATGTCAAGGTGTGGTGGTAAAACTGGCATTGTCTCTGATGACTTTTAGATATTTTTTTTTAACCTGTCGGCAAGCCGATGTTTCATCATTTTTATTTTTTGTCCTCAAATAATTGAGGGGGGTGGTCTTGGAAAAACTTGATAACCCATTCCAGCTTTATTGGAAAAACTTTACAATCCTCTTTTGAAAAGTACGCATTGCATTATCTCCCCACAAAATGAAGTGCATGTTTCTACTTTATCTGCGTACCATCAACAAAAGCCTGCTTTCATATTCTTGGTTCTTTCGGTAAAGTCACGTTGAAGGGAAACAATTCTCACGACGTTTCGACTGCAGTCGACTGCAGTCGAAACGTGAGAATTTTATTGCTTTATATATATTTTATTATTTTATTGTTTCCCTTCAACGTGACTTTACCGAAAGAACTAAGAATATGAATCACTGCAGTCACGAAAGCTTTAAATAAAAAAATAAAAGCCTGCTTTCTTTTAAATTAGATTGTGGGTTCTGAAGTATATATATTTTTTGTTAATTCCAGGACGCTCCTCAATCTCCCTTCCTACCTTACACAGCTGTACGAAGAGGTAGGTGGCACCGGCCTGCACGCACCTCCAGAACGCATTGTACTCGGCTCTGCAAACGGCACGACCAGGCAATGGCATTTTAGTCCAAGGGCCACAGCAGACATGAAGGCTTCAAACTTGATGAAAGCGAGAATTGTTTGGCTCATCTGGCCCAGCGCTGCCACTTCACGAGGCCACGACAGTCACAGGCGTCCACCGGCTGTCATCCTTCTAACCATGGATGGGGGTCCTGCCCCAAAACCTCTTTACTTAGCAGTCTACTGGACATCTGTGAAAAAGAGCTTTATACCTCATCGGATTCCTCCAGTATAAATATTAAGATTTTTTAATCTGATTCAATAATCCTCACATGAAACCGGCCGTGTCAGCCCCAGCTGATCCGTGACAAAATTCTGTGAAGCTCGGACGGATTGTTCCAAGTTGTTTGCGTATTTTCGCGGATAAGACGAGTGACCGAATGCATTACCGGCATTTATCTGTGGATTCGTCGGCTGGAACTGGCAGCTGATTCAATATGCTGTCGACTACGGGGACAGAGACGCCGCAAACCCGAAATATACAGCAGCAGGCGTCAGGGCCGGGATCAAACACACGACCTCCTGCACAACAGGCGAGAGAATTAACATCTCCTAGCCACCGTGATGATGATGATGAGAGATACGCAAACTCCAAATATACAGCAGCAGCAGGCGTCAGGGCCGGGATCAAACCCACGACCTCCTGCACAACAGGCGAGAGAGTTGACATCTCCTAGCCACCGTGATGATGATGATGAGATATACGCAAACTCCAAATATACAGCAGCAGCAGGCGTCAGGGCCGGGATCAAACCCAAGACCTCCTGCACAACAGGCGAGAGAGTTGACATCTCCTAGCTACCGTGATGATGATAAGATATACGCAAACTCCAAATATACAGCAGCAGCAGGCGTCAGGGCCGGGATCAAACCCACGATCTCCTGCATAACAGACGAGAGAATTGACATCTCCTAGCCATCTCGGCGCCGCTGTGGTCACGTCCTATACTCTATGCTCCTGGCCTCCACCCACACCGCTGCTGTCTAACGTGGTGAAGTATGGCCAAATCAACCCCATAGTATCAACCAATACGGGTTAGCCCTTATTCTTGAACAGGGAAATTGAGTTTGCAGGTGCATACGGAGCGTAAAGACGTTGCAATACCGGCACATTGTTTTGCCTATTTGTTTGTGTTTCTCCCTTGTGATGGTGAGTTTGTAGGATGAACGTTGAGATTTATAAAGGGGCACGGGGTGACCAATAAGGTCTGAATTGGTCTGTAATAAGATAGGGCACTGATAAGGAGTTGGCAGCGTGGTGACTGTGACGGAGGCCCTCATCCAGCTGTGGATTGACTAAGACACCTGTACACACACACACACAGTAACTCACAGGCCGGTGCACTTGTACGTGATGAGGTAGGGGAAGTATGACAACGCGAAGCAATTTCCGAAATGAAATAAAGTCATGGTGTTGATTGATCTGGAGGTGAGGGTACCGACAGTGATGGCGTTGGTGCTGAGATGGTCTATTGAGGAGGGTGTTGGTGCTGAGAACTGTGCTGGTTTAAAGTTGTGTGTGTGGTGGTAGTTGATGGCTGTGTGTAAGATGTTGGTGGTGGTGATTGTATTAAAGATGATGGTTGGTGGTGGTGCTGATGGTGATTGTATGAAAGATGATGGTTGGTGGTGATGGTGAGTGTATGAAAGATGATGGTTGGTGGTGGTGGTGCTGATGGTGATTGTATGAAAGTTGGTTGGTGGTGATGGTGATTGTATGAAAGATGATGGTTGGTGGTGGTGGTGAAGGCCGCTGATGGGAGGAGCCAGTTGACCTGGAAGCACTTCCCACTGTCGGGGTTCTTCCGGCGAAAATTGAATATAAAATAATATTTTTTTTAAACCCACGCACCTAGGGGGCGGGGGGGTGAGACATTTGTGACGATGTGACGAGGCGGGGGGGAGGGTGAGAAATGTGACGTCACATAAAATGCGCAACTTTAAATAAATATAGACAACACGTTCTACTTAATTAAATAGACTTTTTAATAAATGTTTTCTCCTACAACATCAGAGTGCAGCGCCACATTAAATACGCACTACAATCACAATAGTTTAAAGCGATTTGAAGCATGTTTTATTTAGGGAGGGGCAGAGCTTTGTGACGTCATATTTGAGGGGGGGGGGGCTGACTTTTTGTGACGCCGTGTGACGACGGGGGGGATCAAAAATCGCGTGACGTCATTTATGGATGGCCCCTTATCAGGTTCACATGTACAGTATATGCTAAATATGCTAATTGCAGCCGTTTTACAAATCTTTCTCGACAGAAGTTGAATATCGATTTAAAGCTTTCGTGACTCTACCTTTCACCTGAAGACGGCCGCTTGCGTTGTGGCCAAAACGTCGTGAGAAATGTATCGTGTTATTTTATTATTTTATTTTCATTCTACGTGACCATACCGAAAGAACCAAAGAAGAGGAAGTTTTATAGTTAAACAGTTTGTTGTAATAATAGGGTTCTTCCCCTTTTTTCTGGCAACAAAACTGAAACCTTATTACGAGGATTCATGTTTATTGCATTAACCACAATACCTGCAGTCAAAATGCAAACAAAAAACACACTATGATAATATATGATGCATTGTCCTTGAAGCTGATTGGTCCACACCTTGAATCTGATTGGTCCACACTTTCTTGTGAGCCTTGACCCAATTGGTGCTCGACCAGATGACGTCAGAAGGCGTTTACGTTTTACATTTAGCGGTAGTTACTCACTGTCTTCAGTATTGTGGCATTGTAACTCATTGCATAATACAGCTCTCTATGTGACCCCCATTTAACTCTCTAAAACTTAATAAAAAAAATATAAAGGATAGTTTTTTTTAACAGAAATGAATGTGTAAAGGAAAAAAAATGTTCGGGGTCAATTGATCACAGGTCACAAGACCTCTGGACCACCCTGTACAGTCAACTCGTATTCGAGTATAAATCCCACTGAAATTGTTCTTATTTAATCGGGAGACCTCACAGTGAAGTTGCTTCATGTGTCGTTTTACTTTCATAGAACTCTATACATTTGGAACCTAATTATAATTAATATTGACTTTTAAGCACAGGGTGTGGGTGGGGGTCACGTGACCGCGGGAGCCCCCACCTCTCCCTCACCCACCACCCCCGACCCCTCCCACACCACCCCTGACCCCTCCCCCACCACCCCCTTCGACCCCTCCCACACCACCCCTGACCCCTCCCCCACCACCCCTGACCCCTCCCCCACCACCCCCGACCCCTCCCCCACCACTCCCGACCCCTCCCCCACCATCCCCGACCCCTCCCCCACCATCCAGTTTGCCCACTGGATGTGACGCGCGGGCCCAGCCACGTTGGGTGAGGGTGACGGCTCAACGCCCACCCCGCGCATTTACACTCGCCTTGATGACGTCACGCGCTATTCGTTCCATACGATTACGGCGGGTGAGGGAAGGGGGACGTGGGGGGGAGGGCTGTGGTGGGCGGGGGGCGTGTGAGGGGGGGGGGCATGTTGGGGAGGGGGGCGTTTTGGGCGGGGGGGGGGAGTTTAATATCCCTTAGTAAGATGGCCGCCGCGAGAGCCCGACCAATCCGCGCTCGGATTTCCGAGAGCACGTGAGGCGTCATCTGACTGCGGGGGCCGCGCAGGGGAACGGCGGAGGTGGTGGTGGAGGTGGGCACCGTCAAAGGTTCGGGTTGGCGTCCCAGGTATCCGCGGCGAGTAGGCGAGCTCACGCCTACCCCTCCTCTCTTCCCTGCCGCCTTTGTCTCCCTTTGACTTCCTACCCCGGGCCAACAACGACAAAGGTGTGGAGCGGTGAGTGGCACAGTTGGTGGGGCTGGTAGAGTTGAGTGGGGAACTCCCCCCCCACCACCCACCGCCACTACCCTCCCCTAGTTTCCTGGTTGTTGCAGACTTCACCTTTCGTGTTTCGCACGCATTCGGCGTGGAGATTCGCTGCCGCTTCTCCTATCGAGATGGGATGACATCGGCTTGTTGATGATGAGCAGTGCAGGAAAGGTGGTGAGAGCTCGCATCGCGCACGCCTCTTGAGATATGGCGACGGCTTTGGTCCAGCAGTGAATTAAACGTTGCCCCGATGTTGTTTTTGTGGTGGTTGTTGTTGTTTGACTTGCATCCCACTGGGATTTTTTTGCACACAGCGTTGGTGGTGTACGGTGCTTTTTTCAGGAATATTTTGCTGGGGTTTTTTTTCATGGATTTTCTGTTTTGCACAGTCACATAGTCACTTTAAGATGTTTTTCTTGTTCATGTTTTTTGTTTGTTGTGGTTGCACCCGATTCAAGAGCCGAATGGCTCACAGGGCTATACCAAAATAAACTGAACTGAACTGCTGATAATGATGGCTATTGAGCAACAGCGGTACACATATATAGTATCGCAAGAGTCCCGACACCGCACTGGCCAAGCGGGGCGATCTCTCCTTACATTTCGCGAGAGTCGTTCTCGCCGTCTCTCGCATTGCCCATGGAAAGTTACGGCTTTGCCATTATCAAAGTATGAATAAACAGGGATATTTTTTCCCCTCTTTGGCAATACAACAGCTGTTAAGATGTTCAAACACCAAATCGCTGGTGTAGACCAATCAGCTTCAAGGACAGGGCATATATTATCAGAGTCTATTTTTGTTTGCATGTTCACCACCACTAGTACGTGTGGTTAATGAAGACATCATTCCTTATTTCCTTGCAAAAGGTTTCTATTTGGTGTCTGAATATCTTAACACCTATATTCTTGGTTCTTTCGGTAAAGTCACGTAGAAGGGAAACAATAAAATAAGAAAAATATAAAACAATAAAATTGTATTTTTTATATTTTTTGTTTGTTTCCCTTCTACGTGACTTTACCGAAAGAACCAAGAATATGAATCCCTGCAGTCACGAAAGCTTTAAATCAAAATCTTAACACCTGTTTTATTGCCGGAAAGGGTAGAACCTATTCCTATTTTTTGAGAGTTAAGGTTATTCATAAACTCGGCGGTTTAATGATTTCAAAATTCGAATCGCAGTTGCTTTTGTCAATCCACCGTTGTATTATGGCTTCTTCACGCCCCTATTGTTTGACCATAACTTCGTGATGATCAAAGTGCAGGTTGGTGAAGGAGATTGAGATGAGTTCCCGGGACCAATTCGACTGATCTTATCCCTGTGCCCGGGCATTTAACTCGGGTTCATAACGAAGTGGGCGAACCACTGCCCTGGCCGATCCTTCGCCTTGTCTACGATATCGCGATTCTATGCCTGCTCACGTCAACATGCTAGAAAGACGACTGGTGGTTTACTTTGTGGTCCATAGCTTGGGTTGCATGATCGCAATCGTTCTTCTGTGGCTTGTCTTTAATTTCCCATTCATGTAGGAGATGTTTTGTGCATCAGGGAAGACGTCTGAGTGGGTTGAACGCAGAATCAGAATATTTATACTTGAATAATCCGATGAGCTATAAAGCTCTTTTTCATATATTTCCAGTAGGGGCGGGTAAGAACGTTACAACAACAAATGCAAAAACACGCTAGTAGTAGCGCAAAGTACAGGCAACGCAAACAAATCACCCAATAACATACGAGTTTACACGAAATCCATCCTACCAGGCAAAGCCCGCTGAGGAACTCATTATTCACCGCTTTGTTTTGCCTTCATTTCATAATAGCTGTACTACCCGGCTTCACCCGGGACTTGGAACCACCACGCGCGGACGCCTTTGTCTCCCCAGTGGCGATGTTCACACACCACAGCAGTTACTCGTTTGAGGCTGAGTCGACCTAGGGGAGGCCCAGGAGCGGTTGAAATAATCGTCACCGGTGGTGGCCGTGAGCGGGAATCGAACTCGGGTCGGCGGGTTTGTAGCGCGGCGCGCTAACCGCGTACACTACAATGCGTTACACTTCCACATGCGAGGGTCACGTGACAGATTTGACGTCACAGCTCACTTGCCATGCAAAAAATATATGCATTATTGAGCTCCCCCCCCCCCAAAAAAAGTGTATTTTCATAATTTTTGCATGGTGTACAGTCTGGAAAGTACCCACATGGCAAATTTCAAGTTTGTTGCATGTCGGGAAGTACGCTAAACATTTTGAACAGCAACTTTGCCTTTTATATCATTACAGATGAACGGGCCGGGCCCAGGGCCGAGCGAGATGATGGCGGCAGCCCCTGGTGTGGCGGACGGCGTCGTGCCGGTGTGGGAGCGACCGTGGACCCTGGCCGAGATGCGCGGCGGGAGCAACAGCTGGTCCCTCGCCAGCGATGCCAGCGTAAGTACAGAATCAGAATCGGGATCTTTATTTATTCTGGCAGAATCCAATGAGCTTGAAAGCTCTTTTTTTTTCCCCACAGATGTCGAAGTAGTACACAATCGAGCCCACCAGCGGCAGCTGTGGAGTGCTGTAAAATAAGTAGGTTGTGGACCTGTATGATGATACGAGTTCCAAATGGGAATACCGATTGTCGACCCTGATACCATTTTCCGGTATAAACCCGAAACGTATTGCATAGGCATCAAATAATGCGATTCTACTTGGCTGTCATCTTGCCCACATTTCCCTACGGTTTTGAGTAAATTCTGTGTACTATTCATCGTTAGTGCATTTGAATGCTGCTTTTTTTCCCATAGGAATAGTCAACTCCCACAGTCATAGTTTTGAACAGAGTCATAGGAACTGAATACGATTCCTACAGGAATTTCCTAGCTCAACTTTGCTTAGTTTCCAGTACCTGAAGAGATCAGGGAGGGTTCATTCAGGGTGATTTGGC